AGGAGAGTGCGCCTATCTGCCCCCCAAGAAGTATGGGACAAGACCCGAAGGAGGGTAAGGGACTTAAGAGCACTCAACACGGAGGTAAGAGATATGGGGAGACCAAGACAAACGAGTGTCAAGGAATAACCCCAAAAGCTTCGCGGAATCTTTGTATTCAAGGGGATGACCATAAAGTGACAAAGAGGGACGAAGAACAACCCGTTTCCGCGTAAAAGTCATGGCACAAGTCTGAGAAGTAGAGAACTTGAAGCCATGACCTGTGGCCCAAGACGACACGGCATCAATCGCAAGTTGAAGCCGGCGTTGAAGGAGAGGCGAATCATCACCCTGACAACAAAGGGTAAGATCATCGACATAGAGAGCGGAGAAGACACCAGAAGGAAGAGAGGAAAGAAGACCATTGAGGGCAACCAGAAAAAGAGTAGTGCTCAGAACACTACCCTGGGGCACACCTTCGTATTGCTGAAAAGGGGGAGAGAGAGCGGTACCAAGGCGCACCCGAAAGGAACGACGAGAGAGGAAGCTGCGGAGAAAGAGAGGGAGATGACCACGAAGGCCAAAAGAATGAAGTTGAGATAGGATATGATAACGCCAAGTGGTGTCGTAAGCCTTTTCTAGGTCAAAAAGGACGGCAACAACGGAGGTCTTCGCAGCAAAAGCAGTACGTATATAGACCTCCAAGTTCACCAGGACATCTGTCGTGCTGCGGCACTTGCGGAAACCAAATTGAGAAGGGGAGAGGAGGTGATGGTGTTCCAGGAACCACATCAGACGAACGTTAACCATACGTTCAAAGAGTTTGCAGACACAACTTGTGAGAGCAATAGGGCGAAAGTCCTTAGGGGAAGTACCCAGAGACCCTGGTTTGCGAACAGGGAGGACAACGGCATCGAGCCAGTCCTCAGGGACTGACGACGACTCCCAGATCCGATTATACAGACTCAGTAAATACTGAGACGTGCTCGGAGGGAGATGGCGAAGCATCTCATAATGAATACCATCGGAGCCCGCCGCCGTAGAACCGCAGAGGGCCAGGGCAGAACGAAGTTCAGAGAGAGAGAAGGGATCATTATAGGGAAGCTGAAGATGAGTGCAGAAATCTAAAGGACGAGACTCAAGGACAGGTTTACGAAGAAGGAAAGATTGGGGAAGATGAAGACCAGAGCTAACAGAAGAAAAGTGGGAACCCAGTTCGGAAGCGACCTGCAACGGGTCCGCCACAAGAGTATCATGGAGGTGAAGGACCGGTGAAACATCGGGAACGAACTTACCCGCTATCTTGCGGATACGCTTCCAGATCTGGGCCAGAGGGGTTTCGGACGTAATTGTCGAGACATAAGAAGCCCAACATTCACGTTTAGCCGTACGGATGGCCCTACGGGCCACCGCACTCGCTTTCCGAAAGAAAAGAAAAGAATCGGTCGTCTGCCTACGGCGGTGCTTCTTCCAGGCTGCACGCTTACAGCGGACAGCCCGAGCACAGTCCGCATTCCACCAGGGAACGCACTTCCGTGGACCCCGAGAGGAAGAGCGAGGAATAGAGCGGAGGGCAGCGTCGAAGACAGTGTCATGAAAAAGGAGGAGAGCGCGAGAGAGGGGCAGAAGGGAGAGGTCAGAGAGAGTAGCACTGAGGGAAAACAGGGTCCAGTCCGCCTTAGCAAACTGCCATCTAGGGAAAGAGAGGGAAGGGCGAAAAGAGAAAAAGGAAACAAGGATGGGGAAATGATCACTTCCATGGAGGTCATCAAGAACCTGCCATGTGAAATCTAAGTAAAGAGAAGAAGAGCAGAGAGAAAGATCAAGACAAGAAAGGGTGCGAGTTCGAGAGTCCAAATGAGTGGGCTCACCAGAATTCAGAAGAGACAGGGAAGAAGAGAGGAGAAACGGCTCAAGGAGGCGACCCCGGGTATTCGTCAGAACGTCACCCCAAAGAGAATGACGACAATTGAAGTCACCCAGCAGGAGCACAGGCTCCGGCAAGGAGTCTAGGAGGTGTTTCAAATCAGGAAGAGAGAGCGGGACACTCGGGGGGAGATAAATGGAACAAACTGTGTACCATTTCCCCACAAAGATACGAGCAGCAGAACAATGGAGAGGCGAAGGAAAAAGTAAAGGAACAAAGGGAACATCAGCCCGAATCAAGAGAGCAGAAGAATTAGAAGCCCCAGCAATGGCTGGGGGGGGGGGAGAGAAAGGAATAGCCACGAAAACGACCAGGACGAGCACCAAGCATCGGCTCCTGGAGACAGACACAAAGGGGCGAAAACCGCGAAACCAGAAGTTGGAGTTCGAGGAAATTGGCGTAATAACCTCGAACGTTCCATTGAAGAATGGACAACGACGAGAAGAGAAAGGACAAAAACAGAGAACAAGGAAGAAACAAAGGCGAAAGACCAACAGAGCACGTTAAAGAATATCAGGGTCGGGATCAGGGTCAGCAAAGTCAGGGTTAGGGGGCATGGGTAAACTGAGCAAAGACGGAGGGAAGGAAACGGGAGAACAGATCAGAGGTGGGCGGGCAGGGTCCGGAGGAGGAGGAGGAGGAGACAACGGAGAGGAGCAGTCAAGGACAGCAGCAGGAAGAGGGGGAGTAGAAAGAGAGGAGAGCACCCCAGCAAGAGCAGCAACCGAAAGGGAAGCAGGGGCCAAAGAAACCTCCATAGCAGGAACAGGGGGCGCAAGCACTGAAACGGGAGTGGAAGGAGCAACAGAGCCAGAAGGAGGAGCTGAGGAAGAAAGCGAAGCCTTCTTACCCGCCGGGGAAGAGGAAGGAGAGGAGCCAGGCTTACGCTTCTGACTTAAAGAGACCGGTGTCCCAGCAACTACGTACCGGGCAACGGATTCCAGTGTCTCAACAGGAGAAGCCGAACGAGAGCACACACGACGGCCGTTAGGAGAGCGATGGACATCCGCCCGCACCGACAGGCGGCGGGGAGAGCCGATAGATGGAGGAAGAGGATGGGAAGGAGGATCGGAGGGGGACGAGGAAGGAGACACAAAAGACACGACAGACCGGGTAGAAGGAAGGGGAACCCCAGACAGAGGACCAGGAGGAGGATCCTTCGGGAGAGAACCCAAAGGGACAGAGGAGGGGGCAGTGGGCGCATCAGGGTCCAAGGCCTGGAAACGGTTGTGAGTCTGAGGAAGGCGGGAAGGACGAGGAGAGGAAGAGCGCAACACGCGAGCATAAGAGATATTAGCATAAGGCGGGAGCCGGCGAACCTGGCGCCTCGCCTCAGGAAAAGATAAACGCTCCCGGTGCTTCAAGTTGAGGACGGCTGCCTCAAGCTTGTAATGGACACACGCACGGGAGAAGGTAGGATGGGCCTCACCGCAGTTGAGGCAACGAGCTTGGGGAGAAGCGCACTCCGACTTAGAGTGACCTTCGCCACCACACAAAGGACAGAGAGAGACAGTCCCGGAGCAGCGGAGGGCACCATGCCCAAACCTCCAGCACTTGTTGCAGAGCCGAGGAGAAGGAATGTACTCCTGGACAGAGCACCTGGCACCAGCAAGAATGACAGAGGGTGGAAGGGTCCTACCATCAAAGGTAATCTTCACAACCCGGAGGGGTTGACGGCGACTACCACGAGGGGGACGAGTAAACGTGTCCACCTGGAGAATAGAATGGCCCTGGGCAGCGAGGATATGTCGAATATCGTCGTGGCAGTCGCGTAGGTCCCGAACACCGGTCGCAACATGGGGCGGGAGCAAAATAGTGCCAACACTGGCATTCAACTGGACGTTCTTCGAGACCCGAACGGGGGTCTCGCCAAGGCAGGATAAGGCAGCCAAGCGGGAAGCAGCATCCTGAGAAGGAGCAGCAACGACACGCGTACCGAGACGAGTGGGGTTAAAAGTAATGGAGGCATCCACGGAATCAATGAGATGTCGATGAAGGGAGAAATCGTCAGGAGGCGCAGAATCAAGAGGGAGGAGATCAAAATATTTGGCCCACGAAGCGGGACCAAACAAGGCTTGATAGGTAGCAGAACTGGAAGGAATCGAGCGAGGGCGGCCGTGACGAGAACGGCGGTGAGAACCCCCAGAGAGAGAGGGGTTAAAAGGCGCAGTAGTAACAACGAGAGAAGGAGCCGCGCCAGGGGACGAGGTAGTCACCACTGGGGGCTTGGGGCTCGACCCAACCACAGAGGAGGGAGGGGAGCCAGGGGAAGGAGTCAGAGAGGCCAAAGGAGGAGCAAGGTCGGGGCCCAATGCAGCGGAGGCTACAGAGCCCGGTCTTCCAATACGGACCAACTCGGGGGCTTGGTCGCCCACCCCACGAGCCTGAGAAGGTAAACCAGAAGAAGCCGAAGCAGGGGTAATCATCTTGACGAAAGAAGAATTCACTCACGAATGTGCCCCCACACCCACCATGGAGCCACAATTAGAGGCAGGACACCCAACAAGAAGCTATCGCCGATCTTGTCGGGGCCTCCTAGGGGTGCGTCGTGAGTATACGCCCCACAAACGCCACCTTAAGAAACCGACAGTCCGTCGAGATCGGGTTCAGTGACGAAGTGGGGATTGACAATAAAAGGTTCCCCTCGCTCTCGACGTCGGGTACTGCAGTTCTACGGGTGCAAGAGTATGCCTCCTCAAGCACCCGGGCGTCAAAATAGAAGAAGGCCAAGGGAAGAACCAGAACGAGCAAAAGGTCGGCAGGAAACGGCAAGCAGATAGGAGAAGAGGGGGGAGAAAAACGAAACAGAAGGAAAAGGAAAAGATGCCCAGCAGAATTGGAGAGGACGGCAGCAGGAGCACAAGGCTAGAAAAGGACAGGACTGTCCCAAGGAGCATCACACTCCGGCAGCCGCCCACCAAGCCCCCACACGGCGACCAGGGTGAAAGAAACTGCCCATTTGTTTCCGCCGGGAATCGAACCCGGATCCTTAGCACTACGAACCTCGAGCGCTGTCGAATCAGCCGTCAGGCCCCTATATTCAGGCTGTCTGAATCCGAAAAACTCGCAGATCAAATCAAATAAAACCCATTTATTCGTAAATAGTTGCACTTTTATGATTGGGAAAGTTTACATAAATATTACTGTACATTAATTAAACACATCACAATATCGGAATAGCACTAAACATTATCCTTTTCATAATCAGAAACTTTTTTCGCAACAACTTCCACAAATCACTTTTTTGTATTATTATTATACACAGTAATGTACTGCTACCCTCTTCTGTATGAAAGATTACAGTGTAGACAAAAAACTAGCTATAAGTTCATCTAATATTCTCATCTCACAGGATGGTTAGTCATACATCGAATCACGGGAGAAAATTATCTGCCTCAGTACAAAAATAAATTGACTGACTAAATAATTATGATTTTAATAAGAGCTAAGCACTGAATTATGGAAAAATTATAATTATTGTTACCAGTTTCTATAAGATTACTCTCAAATAATGTCTTTTTTATCACTACAACATTGGCTGCACAAAATAGGTGTAAAGCAATCTTAAGGAAACTTACATTTTAGGCATAAAGTGCGTGAAATTTAGTTTACATTTAGAAAGGTGCCGGCAAAGTGAGGTTTACCACTGTAAGACAGATATTGGCACAACTTACATCACACAATTAGTGATGGTGAGAAGACAATTAGAAGTACAACTAGTATAAACTAATCATGACATGACGTTATGGATATTTGCACACCCTCAGTATTCAGAAGATTCTGAGGCTATCCCAGCTCAAAATCACTTCATGCACACAACTCTTAATCCCATCGATCCTACTTCCAAATGGACTCAAAATGTCCATCAGCAATCTCTGTGAAAGTGATTTCTTCATAATTCCAAATATCCATCTGAGAATCCCTAGATGTTTTGTCTTATCTTGTAACCTGCTACACCACTCTTATATATCACTCGTGTGTTGCATTTCCTAACAATTAGGTTTAAATTTCTGGAAAAGTAGGAGTGGCCCATAGTTCGTATCCATACAAGCTGAGACATTGACTGTTATTGTGGTGCATTTAGTAGAGGATGTGTTAGACGAGTTAACTGAAGGATCATCTTACTTTAAACCGCATGGAAGTAGAAGCAGTAACAAAACATAGTTTGAAGCTCAGTTTTCAGAGAAACTCGCAACTAGAATCACCCAGAATATAAGCCCAGCCGAAACAGTTAGGAACAAACTAGACAGCTATAGAAATTCAACAGAAAATAGAGCCAGATAATTTTAAAGTTTCTTTTAAAAATCTTTAACTTAAATAAATTAGTAATTGGCTGTTTAGCATATTAATTTATATTTCATATTTCTGTTCAGCTGGATGTCATATATTTATTATTCAGTGCATATTAAATTTGGGGCCGAGGCCGGAATGAGAAATTAATATTGCCTTAGCCTAACAGTTCCAAAACACCACTTACTGCTACTTTTTAAAGCACAAGGTGAACCCATCACCAATGTTGAGAAAAGATATGTTGATACGCTCATCATCCTTGAGTTTAAGGTTGAGGCTTCTGACAGCCAGCACGCTAGGCGACTGCTGCGTCTCATCCAGCACGCAGCCACCCTGGAGTGTGTTGTCAATGGTTATGATGCCCCCGGGTCGCACCAACACCAGGCACTTCTCATAATACAGATCAATGTTGACTTTGTCAGCATCAATGAAAGCATAATCAAAAGAGCCTGCCTGGCCGGCATCGATGAACTTCTGGAGAGAGTCGGCAGCGGGAGCAATGTGTGTGTGGATCTTGGCGCGTACTCCGCCCTCCTCCCAGTATTTCTCGGCTAAGGAAAAACAATGTGAATTATCTTGAGAAAGGAAAGAGACCTGTTCTCCAATTAATATTCAAATGATACCAGGCAAGATTTATATGTCATTTACAACATATATAATACATAAAAAATGTTAGCAGTATTTTGCAAATCCATTTGTATGTGCGTTACTATAAATACAACATTTTAATTGGGATATTTGTATATGTTAAATATAAATATTACAGGACGAGCCCAGTGATACCCGGGTGATGGCCGTGATATCTTTACTACATGTTATCTTCATCACTGTAATCATCTTCCCTACACACACTATTTACATTACTGTAACTTCTTCCCTGCACACTAGTCACATATTGAATGTAAGAACTTAAACACTAGAATGTAAGATGTTAACATTATACAATATAGCCCTCTTAACTCCACACCTTCACCACCTTCCCTTTCCTTCTACATCTTCCCCTAACCTTCAACGTCTTGCCTATTCTTCACCACATGCCCTACCCTACACCATCCCAACCCTTCACCTGCACCTTCTCTACCACTCACCACCTTTCTTACCCTTCACCATCTAAAACGTCAACCTTCCCTGCCATTCACCACCACCTTAGTCATTCATCAACTTCTCTACCCTTCATCCCTGTAATCTTTATGAGGATGAAGTCTTTCATTTAACGAGATTGAAAATTTGCATGGTTTCCCCATTTTATGCAATGGAGGGGGGCCTGGGGATCGATCCCGACCCACCTATGACAATCTCCGGACAATGACCAATCACCCTGCAAAATTTTGTGAGCCTAACCCCAAGCGCCTGGCTCCCAACCTCAGACAAAGACTCTTTTAACGATATATATACTAGATGGCCTACCGGTGAATGTACGTTATCGACGTCGAACCTACGAGATCGATGTTGAATCAACGAGATCAACATTGAGGCCAGGTCTCAGATGCTGCGATCATACAGGAACTATTTATTACTAACTTCACCGTGCAGGAATTACAGCCCTCTACATACATGGTCCCCTATTTTAGGAACCAAAAGTAATTCGACACATTAAGATTCCTAAATAAAGTCATCATATTTTCATATTTACGAGTATTCAGAACTTAATATATCTACTTTACGCGCAGAAGATTCACTCGCTGCCCAAGATTATCAAAGTAATTATCAAGATGTAAGTAATCTTATCAAAAGAAGGCGCCAAGCCAGTGAGACTGTAGTACCAAGATGGATGTAGGATGCGGATAACATCACCGAACCAAACAGCAACGCTCTGACTCCAACTAGGCCCCAAAGTATGCTGCAACACAAACCTTCCATCCATTGCTCTTGTTATCACTGCATAGTATCTAATTTATGTCATCATTTACCAAGCCTTCTAAACAAAGGCAAGAGTTATGAGAGTTCTTACCAAGGCTGGTGTATTCATCGCTGATGTCCAGGCAGTGGACCTCACCGTCAGGAGGCAGTACCAAGGCAGCAGACAGAGCACTAGCTCCTGTGAACATCCCCACGTCCAGTACCTGTGAGACAAACACGCAGTCAACATCCTCAGATCAGCCGCAAGCTGTGGTCTTACCCTCGTGGTCCCCAGCTATGGTCTTACCCTTCGAAGTCTGCTGCAGTGTCAGTTTTCTGACTTCTAAAAACGTTTTGAAATCAACTTTTTACTGTCGAGTAATACGCTATGATTATAGTCAATTCTCTATGTAAATAGAGGATGGCCAGACGTCTAAATTTCACCTGACCTTCATCCGAAGAAAGAAGCACAGCTTGTCCCTAAACACCGACGCTCTCTATGTCTCATATCCCCCCATAGTCACTGAGAGATAGGACTAAGACGTTACCTTTTTGGCCCCAATGGCTTGGATGAGGTTGGCGCCAAGTTGGAGGACCTCCGGAGCGCCCACCATTCCACCGTGAGGAAGTTTCAGCGTCTCCTCCAACAGCTTCTTCTGGACGTCTGTCTGCCTGTGAAAGGATGGTTTGTGACAGGAGTAATGGTCGTGTAAGCAAGTTATGGGACAGGTCTCGTAATGAGTGGGCGAGAGGACAGACAGGTCGTGCAGGGAGGAGGCTGGAGTATAGGCCGTACAGAGAGGAGGCTGGGGTGTAGGCCGTACAGGGAGGAGGCTGGGGTGTAGGCCGTACAGGGAGGAGGCTGGGGTGTAGGCCGTACAGGGAGGAGGCTGGGGTGTAGGCCGTACAGGGAGGAGGCTGGGGTATAGGCCGTACAGAGAGGAGGCTGGGGTATAGGCCGTACAGGGAGGAGGCTGGGGTGTAGGCCGTACAGGGAGGAGGCTGGGGTGTAGGCCGTACAGGGAGGAGGCTGGGGTGTAGGCCGTACAGGGAGGAGGCTGGGGTGTAGGCCGTACAGGGAGGAGGCTGGGGTGTAGGCCGTACAGGGAGGAGGCTGGGGTGTAGGCCGTACAGGGAGGAGGCTGGGGTGTAGGCCGTACAGGGAGGAGGCTGGGGTGTAGGCCGTACAGGGAGGAGGCTGGGGTGTAGGCCGTACAGGGAGGAGGCTGGGGTGTAGGCCGTACAGGGAGGAGGCTGGGGTGTAGGCCGTACAGGGAGGAGGCTGGGGTGTAGGCCGTACAGGGAGGAGGCTGGGGTGTAGGCCGTACAGGGAGGAGGCTGGGGTGTAGGCCGTACAGGGAGGAGGCTGGGGTGTAGGCCGTACAGGGAGGAGGCTGGGGTATAGGCCGTACAGGGAGGAGGCTGGGGTATAGGCCGTGCAGGGAGGCGTCGAGGGAACAGGTCGTGCAGGGAGGCGTAGAGGGAACAGGTCGTGCAGGGAGGCGTAGAGGGAACAGGTCGTGCAGGGAGGCGTACAGAGGGAAGGGAAGAACACTCACCTCAAGGAGTGGTCCACCACATACTTCACCAACGGCTTGGCGCTGTGGAAGCTCTTCAAAACGGATACCCTTGGGTCCCTGCATGGAACATAATAGAATATTTAAAGGTTCATGTCTTGGCCAAACTATTCTTACGTCACACAATATTTATTTATATATATAATGTATATTATATTATATATATTTATATTTAAATTACACACACACAATTCAATTTGTTTCTTATTATGCACCCCATACCCCCATCCCGTGGGCGGTGGTGGAAAGGGTTACAGAGGTACATAATGGGTTCAGGAACTGAACCCTCAAATTCGTTTAGCTAAGCAAGTGACTATCTTTAATTACACAATTGTTAATGTTACATACACGTGTACATTCATTTACATCCATGTACACAAATACATATTTCTGTACATGGTAGTTGATAGTGGTAAGGATTGTGATGTGTACTTTGACTTTAGCAAAGCTTTTGATACAGTGCCACATGAAAGACTGATTAAAAAGATTGAGGCTCATGATATTGGGGGTGCTATATTAAGCTGGATTAGGGCATGGCTAATACAAACACTCTGTTTCCAAAGGAAACAGAGTTAGTATAAATGGGGTTAAGTCAGAGTGGGAAAATGTTGTAAGTGGAGTGCCTTAAAGCTCTGTCCTGGGACCTCTGTTGTTTATAATATATAATAAATTATTTAGATTCAGGTTTGAATAGCAACATCTGCAAATTTGCAGATACAAAAATCGAAAGGGAAATTAACACGGAAGAAGACTCACTATCACTTCAAGTTGATCTAAATAGGGTTTTGAAATGGTCAAAAGATTGGCAGATGCAGTTTAATGCTGATAAATGTAAAGTTCTGAGGCTAGGTAATGATTATAGAGTTATAAGATACGAGCTAGATGGTGTTGAGATTGCGAAAGGGATCTGGGAGTTATGATTAGTAAGAATTTAAAACAAAAGGATCAATGTATGAATGTTCGTAATAAGGCAAATAGGACACTGGGATTTATTAATCGAAGCGTTAGTAACAAGACACCTGGTGTGGTTCTTCAGCTATATCTTGCTCTGGTTAGGCCCCTTTTAGATTATGCAGTTCAGTTTTGGTCGCCGTACTATAGAATGGATATAAATTCACTTGAATGTGTCCAGCGTAGGATAACAAAGTTAATTCCCCAAATTAGAAATCTTTCATATGAAGAAAGATTAACAAAGCTTAAATTGCATTCACTGGAAAGGCAAAGAGTTAGAGGTTTACAAGTGGATGAATGGACATAACAAAGGGGATATTAATAGGGTATTAAAAGTATCAACACAAGACAGAACACGAAACAATGGGTATAAATAGGATAAGTTTACATTTAGGAAAGACTTGGGTAAATACTGGTTCGGTAACATAGTTGTTGATTTGTGGAATCTATTACCGCGTAACGTGGTGGAATTAACGCAAATTTTGGATACTTCGCTAAGATTCCTGGCAGTACATCATTATGAATGAAGTACTTACACATTTTTTGAACTGCATTGATGATGCAATATCTGAATTCCGCGATTTTTTCCACATTCCATTATATAATGACGCAATCTATGCGAATTGTTCTGCTGACAATTTACATTTCGTCAAATGCCCATCAGGAGATGTTGCAAACTCCCAGAGGTACTTTTAGCTGAGCCTAACCCTAGTAGTGGTAACATCTAGAAGTCTGCTAACCTTACTGGATGACCCACAGACGTGCGGTACTTCCTGCATAATAGAATGATGCTAGAAGGAATAACTAACATGAATACAGGAGCCTTCACACCCGTCGATTAGGGTTGAAGGCGAGACCCAAGAGCTACAGTTTCCCCCCTTCCTCTCCCGGGAAAGTATATCTAGGTGAATAGTTAATATTTTAGGCGAAGTCTTATTAGGTTACACGAAGTCTGGATAGGTTAGACTTGGTCTTATTAGAATATGATAGGTCTGGTTTCCTTACGACCAATTACCCTTGCTGCGGGGGGTAATATATTCCGTGAAACTTTACCCACAGTCAGGGAGAGGAAACCTCTTACGCTTATCGAGGGCCCCTGGCCTAACTGCACCCGACCTTCCCCGGGAGCCAGTAGGAGCTAAAACTTGCACCAGCAGGGAAATTGTGGCGTCGTATAGACCGTGAACACGCATATACAACACTGGGGTTGTCCAGTCCGGTCCCACCTTCGTCGTAGTTCCTACATTAACACCAGATTTTATGTGTTCGGTAGGGTAAGATGGGTTAGGGTAGGATGGATTGGGTGTTCCAAGGTGATAGGATGAGTTATCTTAGGTTAGAGTAGGATGGGTTGGGTTAGGGGATATTTGTTTACAGAATGGAAATTATGTAAAAGAGGGATACTTTTCATATCCCATAGCCCCATTCATTCATTCATTCATAGATTATAGGAATAATTGACATAGACTAAACCCTTTAGTTAACCAAGCTAAACATTACTGTAATTACTTTAGAGAGCAGCGGTGTACTTACATCCTCCCGTGCAGGCTGGTGGCGGCCAACAGAGAGCAGCTGCAGCTTGTCACCCAACAGTGAACACCAACACACACACTGACACACACTCACTATCCTCAAGTCAACTCTGGTCGGGCCGCCACAATTCCGGCATTATTATTTCATTATTACTTCATGTCATGTGTTCCGGTAAAGTAGGTCAAAACTAGAATCTTGTTTGAACTGTTTTCTTTGGCTTGTATATTGTAATAATGTTTATTCTTGCATGTGCCGTTTTTCCTCCTTGTAAAAATAAAACAAAATTATACTGTGTAAGGGCGCCGAAGATTATGTAAGCGACACAACAGCCTAACATCACTCCCTGCCACCAGCAATTATATTCTTATTATTCTCATTCTATTGCAGTTCTGACATATTTTTCACTTGATTTTTTTAATAGTTTTGTCCCAGGAGAAAGATACAAATTAAGACATTAAGTTCATAATTTTATTTCCGACATTATTACTTCATAGCTCTTTACTGGTGGAAGTAATATATGACCAGGCATGTGGCAACACTTATTTTTCCAAACGGTTTAGTTACGTTTCAGTTAACATCATCTTCCAGGCAGACATTTATATCAGTCACCATTATTAACGCTGTTATGTGTCTTATTGCTTGACCTTGCGTATTATTCGCAATTGTTGTCGAGGTTTTCAAGTCAGTTTATTGTATTTGAGCTCGCTGTTAGTTTATAATGCGGAAAGCTTATAACGAAGTGCGTTACATTACAATCACCGGCCCACTTGGAGAGTTGTCACCTGCGGCGGGTACGCAATTCTCTACATTTTTGGCCATCATTTTTCGGCAATATTAACACGGGCATATACAACAATGTAGTGCTATCTTAGTCTATATGAAGGATTACAGTGTGTAGATCAAAAACTTCCCATCAGTACATCTTATATCCCCAAGTCATGGTAATGACTTGGATCAACACGAAATGCTACCGACTTCCTAAAAAAAGTGATAACTCTTATCTTATGTGTAGTTCTTTTGTTGTTATATCAGCTATTGAGCTGCTACATGGTCGTCCAACCACTTGGGCTAGACGGTAGAGCGACGGTCTCGCTTCATGCAGGTCGGCGTTCAATTTCCGACCGTCCAAGTGGCTGAGAACCATTCCTTCTTCTCCCCCCCCCTCTCCCCGTCCCATCACAAATCCTTATCCTGACCCCTTCCAAGTGCTATATAGTCGTAATGGATTGGCTCTTTCTGCTGATAATTTCATTCCAGCCATTACGAAAAGTCGTAATGGCTTGGCTCTTTCTGCTGATAATTCCATTCCATACATGGTGTATGTGTGTGTGTGGGGGGGGGGGGATGTTTAGTTAATCGGTCAAGTGAGCAACCCGACTATAGTTATATAACTAAGTATAGCTAGGCGATTTCATCAAATGCTTTTGCCAAACTTGTGGCTTTAATGATCAAGTAATTCCATTGGTTACAACCTGCAATATTTACATGCATATAATATTCAGTTTATGCACTCTATTCCTAATAATAATAATAATAATCATAATAATAGGCAAATGACATATTCTCTTAAAGCGAAATTGAACAGCAAAATAGTGAAGAGCATTTCACCAACCTGCGATTATGAGATCCATAGCTTTAATACATATAATTAATTATATGTATGTATATGAGTGTTTATATAGTGATATATATACATGAACTTCACTAGATCACCCTTAGAGTGTAATACTTGCAGCTCGGGGTCGCCATTATGCGTAATTATTAAAACATTCAAAACAAAATACTGTAACGTTATCATTTACTTCTAAGTTGCAAATGAGTTGAAAAAGTATATAAATATTATCAATCCAAGTACTTCCCTGGATACACAGAATATCTATTCTGCGATAGATAATATTCTGCGATAGAAACGTTAATTCTGATAATTAACGTTTCTGAAATTTGGATAAAGAGATAACACAGTTACTTTATGTTGTCTTATATTCGAAGGATTCGGGAAAACCGTCAAATAAATATATAATCGAATGAAGAGAAATACCAAAAATGGTTTCGTATATACGGTAATTTTTAAATAAATATTTTTAGGAGGCTATCTTGAGTGGTTATCTTGAGATGATTTCGGGGCTTAGCGTCCCCGCGGCCCGGTCATCGACCAGGCCGCCTTTTTGTTAACCCTAGGAAGCAGCCCGTAGCAGCTGTCTAACACCCAGGTATCTATTTACTGCTAGGTGAACAGGAGCATCAGGGTGAAAGAAACTGCTCATTTGTTTCCGCCTCCACCGGAAATCGAACCCGGAATCTCAGGACTACGAAGCGCTGTCCACTCAGCTGTCAGGTCCCTATTAGGCCAGGCTGATGCCAAATGCTCCAAAATTCTTGTAATTGATGATTTTTAGCGCAGTGGTCTGCATCCTTGGCTCACAACCAAGGGTTCCGTTCGATCCGCGGAACGGATCGAACGGGATCCTTGGATTATATTAATATAACTCTTGAACGTAGTTTTTGAGCGGAAATCACATTGCATATGCTGTATTTGGAATTTTAAAATACGATTTTTCTACCAAATTTCAATATATCCAAGTATGTTTTGTGTGAAATGTTATTATTAGCATAATTTGTTGTTTTAATAATACTACGGACTGATGTTTAATTTATTTAGAAATACATCACATCTCAACAAAGAGCAGTACATCCTAACCATCCTAATACATGAACTAACCAGACATTATATGATGATATCTTCAACAGTAGATAAAAAAAGTAATTGCAGAGCTCCAGTTACCTAATACTAGTATGGTAAAAAAATTTCATAAGCTACGGGATTCCCAAGTGACATAGCGTTTCGGGGTTCTTAAGCTAAACAACTATAAACCCGTGGAACTGCTTACCCGCCGATGCCGTAAATGTCTGCAATTCAAAATCCGGTTGCATAAAATCATCAGGATAAACAGTGCCCCTTTGACAAGTCACTTGTTTCCTGTCCTCGTCGAGGCCACTAGTGTGTTTGTCAATTAGTGCCCTCAGGTAAATTCAGGTAAATGTTTAAATTTGTGAATAATTTCTAAGTAACTCCTACATGTCTACAACCGGCTCATGTATCGGCTGAATATGTAATATGTAAATAACATCATTTAAGTGCTATAAAATTATTTTACACTATATCTATTTGATAAAGATAAAACAAATAGTCATCCCTTTTAAATTATAATAAAATTATATAGTATTCCAGTAAATGATATTTAAAATTGATAGTTTAATCCGGAGTTATAGACTGGTCAGCGGGGAGGAATGTGAGAGGTGTGGAGTGGCGGTGTGGTGCAGAGCTCTGCTGCTCCTCTCTAGATAACACTAAGCCAAGCTCACAGTTCACCGCCTCGATACCACCAAATTGTTTAATATTTTGTGTGACAGAAGCCTCACAAGACCTGCAGGCAGCCTCAAAGAAGCCTTTTCTTGGCACTGCATCAGAAGGGCTGAAGTAGCCCCTAAACGTGAATGCCAGCTGTTGAAACACTTAGTATTAAGAAGAGGAAAGAAACTGAAAGAAATTAAGGTGACGAAAGAAAGATATTAAAGTACTACTATACAAGAATTCTTCACCCAGTACTCTCTTAACTCTACAAATCAGTTCGTTAATTTGGCAACACTTAAGAGTTGACACCAATTGACAACACTTGAGCCTAAAGGTGACCGTCACCAGTGACGCCGCAACACTACACAAATAATCGTGACTTAATCTGCAAGACATTAATTATGGGTCAGAACAGAAAGAAAGGTTTGTTAATTTTTTTTTTTTTTTTTTTAGCAACTAAGACATCGCATGAATGGTTTTTCAGTCTCTGGGCATAACAATGTAAGAAACTATTATTTCATTAATTTTTATTATATTAATTTTTTTTTTTAACCGGAGAATCAACATTTGGATACATTCATGATTTATAAGCGTGGATCCTGGGTTCAATTCTCTGGTGAGATAAATGGTTGGGGTGTTTCGTTTCACTTTATGCTGCTGTTCACCTGGCATTTACTAGGTACCCCTGGAGTTAAGCAACTGTTGTTGCCTAACTCTTGGATATTTTGAGGGGACCTCAATAATCCTGTGTATTATATACAGTCCATTACAAAAATTATATACAGTATACCATGATGTATTAGATGTCCATAAATAAACTTTTGGGGAATTATAAGGAAACAATGTATCGTTAGAATTAAGATGTACAGTATAAAATTATCTTTAATTATTTTTTTCCTTTCAGGAAGATGTACAATTTTCCTCAAAAGTTTGGGCAGACAGACCAGTAAACAATACAAATTTAAATTCATAATGAAACATTTAATTATTGTGTGCTATTATTGTAATTTAGCAGTTTAGGATTTACCAGTTTTTCTTAAATTTTCCTATATCCTTAGGCAAGTAAACTTTATAAGTTAGAATGCGTCAAGTACTGTATATGTCTATGACATCCATCACAGTGGTGATGAGTGTCACCATCACCATTGTCACAGCTGTCACTATATTTATCATCATCCCATTATAACTTGTTGGAGGGGTGGCCTTTGGTGTAGTTGTTAGCACTCACACATTGTAAATGACACTACTTGAGTTTGAATCTGGGGACAATTTTGCTCTGCGCCATTACTCTAAACCCATGTGCATCCAGGAATAATTAGAAATCTGCAAGTGAAAGACTTGGCAGATAATGGAAAACCATAATGCTGAATAACCTAACTGGCTTCAATACCTGGCCCAAGCTCAAAATCCCATAATTTAAAACATATTAAAAATATACTTTGTTAAATACCTAGTTGTACCTGGATGAGGGTCTGGGAGTTCTTCTATTCCCGAAGCCTGACCCTGGGCCAGGCTTGATTTGCGAGAGCTTGATCTAATATGCTGTTGCTTGGGGCGGTCCGCAGGCCTACATATCCACCACAGCCCGGTTGGTCGGGCACTTCTTGAAGAAAACTAGATAGTTTTCTCTTGAAGGTGTCCACGTTTGTTCGGGCAATATTTCTTATACTCGCTGGGAGTATGTTGTGAACAACTGTAGACCTCTTGAGTTATTTCAATGTCTTAATCAAATTCATGGACACTAAATGTACACTGGAAGCACTCATAAGTTAAAGTTTACTTGCCTTAAGGTCTAGGAAAATTTATAAGGAAAAAAGCTGGTGTAAAAAAAAAAATAAAAAAAAGTCAGAAGAGTTTGAGTTTTCCAATAGCATGTTATACTGTATAGAAAAAATTCCATTAAGTTTCTATGAGCAGGTATACATATTACATAGAGAAGCAGGATATGGTATTTATGAATGTTGTTAACAGGCTTTTCACAGAATAGTAATACTGTATGTCATGCTCTTTTTTTTATCTTGAGAATTCTTCACCGATGATTAGAGAATCTCAGTGACAAAGGAATTCCTTGTATTTCTAGCAGTTGATTGATTGATTGATTTTTTGTAGGACCAGCACTATCCAAAGAGGAGCTGCGTATGCTCACTGTGGGAGAGATTGTGCAAGAGTTAATAAAAGCACAAAAGGAGCAACGCGATATTAACCTCAACAAGCTGAAGACCCGTATATCATCAAAATATGGGCTTCAGTCTTCACCAAGACTTGTGGACATTATAGCTGCAGTACCACAACATCATAAAAAAGTTCTTCTCCCTAAACTTCGTGCAAAGCCTGTTCGCACTGCTTCTGGGGTAAGTTTAATGTACAGAACAACATTAAACATGTTAAATTAGCAACATATCAGTAGATAAATTTTTCAGATTTTTAGAGAAATTGTAGTTTTTGTTGGAATGTTATCAATTATGAATTATTATTATTAGAGATACTTTATGGTATTGTCAAGATTAATTTTTGTGAACTATCATATTCAGCTGCTTATTAAGGCAAGCATCTGCTGTGTCATAAAATTCACATACAATCAGGCAGATGACATTCTTGTACAGGAAAATACTTCTGTGACAGAAGAATTTTCAAACATCTCTGCAGACGTGTAAAGGTGCTTCAGAGGCACTGAAGAAAAGCTCAATCCACCCCAGATATGTATACAGATAATATACTGTACAGTATATGGTTACACTGTATATAATAAAACACTGCATAAGGTTTTATGTTTATGGGGACAGGACGTCTGTACAGTACATTGGCATATCAAGGTCCCCCAAGGCCAACTACTTATCTTCTCAGGAAGCAACCCATAACAGTAGCATAACTCCTTGATATCTATTTACTGCCAAGTGAACAGAGGCAGCTGTTGAAACACAATATGCCCAATCTTCTTTATCGTACTGTGGGAATTGAAACCAGGACCCTTGGATGTGAACCAGTGACATTGACCACTGCACTACAAGGCCCTGCTGATAATCTGAGATGCTCCAAGAGATAAAACTGTAATTGTGTTTGATGTAGAAGAAAAAACATAAACCGGTATTGCTACGGGACTTACAAAATCCTCTTCAATGCTTTTTTTTTATTCTTTTCTCTGAGGTTATGGGTCCCCATTTTAATTGCAGGTTGTACCCTCCGTTCCTATATACACTACTTTACTGTATATATTTATATATGTAGCACAAGATTCGGGTTCTAGCTCTCAGTGTGCTGAGATGCTGAGTCACTGTAACCTGGCGAATCTGTGGGTGCACTGGAGTACCCATACCACAAGGTATGAGGATTTACTGAAGTACCCTTCAGGAAATAGTACAGTATTTCATTACACTCGATGTACTATTTTTTCCATTTACCCAATTGAAACCTTAGTTTATATTAAAGAATTTACATTTTTTGACACATGCATATGCTACATTTGCCTTTCAGTTCCTAAACTATCTTTTTGAATTTCTTGGTATCACTACATTTTACATCTTACCTTAACAAATCACACTATGATAAAAGGGTGAAAGATTCCAAAATGTTGCTAAATTCGATGATTTTCAATTCAAATTTAAAAATGAAACAAGTGAAAAATTGCAAAATATTGCCCAATTCTATGTTTTTTAATATACACTATTATAATTAATGCCTTAATTTCTGAAGAGATGCTATCCTATTGCAGTGTTTTGCTTTGTTATGGTGGTTAGTTATCTTCATAATTCTCAAGTTAATTTTTGTTTATCATTCTTGGTGGATATTACTTGAAATATTATCATATCAATATTATTACCACATACATTATTACAGGGTAGAAAAATTTATTACATAAGGATTTTTCAATGTTATTTCACTAGATTGCAGTTGTAGCAGTGATGTGCAAGCCCCATCGGTGCCCCCACATCAATATGACTGGCAACATCTGTGTCTACTGCCCTGGTGGTCCAGATTCTGACTTTGAATACTCAACACAGAGCTATACGGGTTATGAACCTACATCGATGAGAGCTATAAGGGCACGATACAACCCATACCTACAGACCAGACACAGAGTGGAACAGGTATCTTATAAAGAATTAACCTTTTTTGTTATTGTACTGTACTATATTGTTAATTGTTATACTTGGAAGCCACCTATATCCACAATTTTAAGGCCTGATTCAGTAAAAAAAAATTGAATTTCATGATGGTTAAATTTTATTGCAAGAAGTACATCAAGGTGGGGTATAAAGAGCTAGACCTCACTTCCCTGTAGTCACTGTTAGGTAGGCATTGTTAGGTAAAAACTGGTACAGCCATGCCTCGGGAAGGTTTGCCAGACCTCTTAATAGTTATCCTTGTGTACGGGGAGCCAAAACCAGAATCATGGTCACTCTACGAGCTGAGGAAAGTTTGGGGGATCAGACTCGAGATAAAACATGTGCAACAAAGCAAGAAACTACTTGAAGGAAATGCAGTAACAGTGCAAACAATCGTTGCTGTGGTGTAAACACCCTGACCATGATGAGCATAAAGGGATGGCAGCCCTATAATCTGGGGTTCCAGCCAGCCTGGGGCCAGATTCACGAAGCTGTTACGCAAGTACTTATGAACGTGTACATCTTTCCTCAATCTTTGATGGCTTTGGTTACATTTATTAAACAGTTTACAAGCATGAAAACTTGCCAATCAACTGTTGTTATTGTTAAAAACAGCCTCCTGGTGCTTTGGAGCTTATTAACTGTTTAATAATTGTAAACAAAGCTGCCAAAGATTGAGAAAAGATGTACAGGTTCGTAAGTGTTTGCGTAACTACTTCGTGAATCTAGCCCCTGCTCCTTATTTGCTCTCCCTGGTCACACCATAGAAAGCACAGAATCCCTGACAAGATATTTCCTCAACTCTATGCTTTTAACCAAGTGGTTTTGGCTATCCCTAGAACATTAGTTCCACCAGGGGCTATTGATTTGTTGTTTCCTTTCTCCTTCTTAATTGTTTTATTTCACGGATATGTGTGAAACCCTAATTTTATATTTCACTTCAAGTGTGTGCCAGGGTTCCCTTCCTTGGTTGTTGGCTTGCCGTTCCTTCGCCTCGCCAGAAAAATCTGCTCCTAGTGGTTTGGGCTTCTCCTCTACTTGTTGACTTTTATTGCATTGCATCTCTTTTGAATAGAGTACTGTATAGGTCTTGTTCCCTCACTTTGAGGCCTGTTGATGGTAGTGTTGTAGTTAACTGTGTGCTCATGTTACAGTTGGATTACAATTATGTTACAATTCTTTGCACTCTTGGACAGAGTAGGGGCTTGATGTGTTTAACCCAGGCATGTTGGGTTCTGCCTGTATACCCAGAAGCTCTGCTGCAGGGACATTCTTGGTGTTCACTAATGTCTCTTAGTTGGTGGGGTATGTTCCCATACACTCTTGGTCACTGAAATTTAGATAAAATCCATAATTTGCCAAGAATTTATTATTATTTTCAAGTATTGCTCTATTGATTTTGTTGCATGAAATAAAAAATTGCCTGTAAAAATTGGTAATATTGTAACAAATTTTTAATATTGGAGCCCATTTTATTTACACAATGCATTTAATCTTCAGCTTGCACCTCTGTAATAATTTTCTTTATTACACTTTCAGCTGCAGCAGTTAGGTCACAATGTTGACAAAGTGGAGTTCATTGTAATGGGTGGAACGTTCATGGCTCTCCCAGAGGACTACAGAGATTATTTCATCAGAAACCTACATGATGCCCTCTCTGGGCACTCCTCCACAAATATTGCTGAAGCTGTCAAGTACTCGGAACACAGCAACACTAAATGCATAGGTAAGGTTTTCTTTGTTATTTCTGTGCAGTTAAAAACAAAATGTGCATTAAGAATAAATTTCTTCCCAGAGCTTATGCTCTAGTACCCCAGGACTAAATCCAACACATTATAAGCATCTGTGACCATCTCATGGCCTATTGGAAGCAAATGCCAGACTCCTTAACATCAAAGATGCTGAGGAGCTACCAAGATGCTGCCCGACAAAGGGGTCCTTCATTACACTCGATGCTCTATTTTTGTATACTTAATTCTATATTCACACAGTGTATATGCAATAATAGAAGTTATTAATGTCAAATACCACACTTTATTCATCATCAGGCACACTCCATCCTTCTTTCATTTCATTCACATCTGTACTCCTATTCTTATAAAAATTTTCTCCATTTCATTCTTAAGTAATTACAGTATTTATTTTCATAATAGCATCACATAGCTTAGCACATCAAACTTACTTCTATAAATACTTTCGTCACTTTCTAGTTGGTCATTTGTCAAGTATTTAATAAATACAGTACAAGCATTCTTTCCCCAGCACTAAGATTCTAAAGGTACTCAGCACTATGATTCTAAAGGTAAAGGACTCTGTGGCCAGATTTATGAAGCAGTTATGCAACTACTTATGAACGTGTACATCTTTCCTCAATCTTTGACGGCTTTGGTTACATTTATTAAACGGTTTACAAGCATGAAATCTTCCCAATCAACTATTGTTATTGTTATAAACAGCCTTCTGGGGGTTCGGAGCTCATTAACTGTTTAATAATTATAACCAAAACCGCCAAAGATTGAGAAAAGATGTACAGGTTCGTAAGTGATTGCATAATTGCTTTCGTGAATCTGGCCCCTGGTCTTCAAGTGCCAAATTCTCGGGATTTTCTTATGAACAGGCAAACATTATTTTGTTAATGAGCAGCTGGTGATTATATAGTAATATTTAAGTCTAGTGAAAATCCAGATGGAATGCTGCTCGTGTACAATTGTGGGCCAAGTGGGGTGGAACTTAAACTTATGTCAAACTTATATCACTAAAAAATGAAATTAAAATAATAAATGGTTGAGACTTTTTTCTTGTGTTTAGACAAAATTCATTTGCCTTTTTTAATAAATATTTTAAGTCATGTCTCTGATGAGATGAGTAAGTAGTATTGTTTCATTATTCAGAACTTGCGTAATATCCAGTAGGCTCTGCTGTTCATTGTCTACAATGCAGAATCTCTGCACACTGCAATTAATTCATAAACACACAGAGCTGCTGTATGAAACACACAGCAAGTTCTAACATACGGCTGAGTTCTAACTGTACTTTTAAATTGCCATCACTTTTTTTTCCTCTCCAGGCATTACAATTGAAACCCGTCCTGACTATTGCTTGAAACGTCATCTCTCTGATATGTTAAAGTATGGTTGCACAAGACTAGAAATTGGTGTCCAGTCTGTGTATGAAGATGTTGCCAGGGATACAAATAGGTAAGTGCTATTTAGTATACTTGTATTAGAATCAACAAAACCCCTCAAATGTAAATTACATGAATCATCAGTCACTACTTCTATCTGTAGGTTTGACAATCAACCACTACCCTATCCACCATTTAGTTCTGGGTTTTGGAAAGCATTCTAGACTTTTTCCCTTCAGTTTTGTTTTGTTTTCACCCTCCTACATATCTGACTTCTAAAGCTCTCTTCCTCTTGGCTTTGCCTTCAGGAAATTGTCTAGTTGTATCTTTGGGTAAGTATTATTTGTACATTATGCTCTTCAAGATCTCCTGCATTGTTTCTCATATCTTATGCATTGGTTCCTTGTACCAAGGCTTTCAATGCCTTTGCAGGGTTGTGAAACATACTTAGAACTGTGCTTACCTTGTAAGCATAGTTCTTATATGACCTAAGAAAGTATGCTACAAACTGTTAATTTATCTGTCATGTCCTGCTTGGAGATTAGGGCCCATGGGTTCCAGAGGTTGAACCGTACTTTTTCTCTTCCATCTGCTTGGGTAAATAACATGTCTGTAATGTTTTTATTTAATAAATATTTCTTCCATTTGAATTGGTTCATGAGATCAACTGAGAAACTGTAGCTAAGAAATAAGGTACTGTATTGAATGAATTGAAATGCTTCTTTTTGAGCTGGTCTCTCAAGTACCCCCTATTTCCTCTCTTTTTTTTTTCATCCTCTTTTTCCCGAGGATGCTTGAGTGGGTTGAGCAACAGGTGACTTTGCTGGCTTCTCCGATTGTGTTATGGTCGCAGTTTGCCACCGGATGGTGGTTAGGGTAGCGGCTGATTACCAAGCCTGGTTTTACCGATAGTTGACAATGATTTTAATACTAATTATTTAGTGGGGGTTTGTTGAATCTAATGTTCATTTTTGTGTATGATAGCAAGTTGGTCTGTGGGTAGTTGCTAAAGTTATATTTGCCACAGCCTTAATCCCTTCCCTAAGTATGTGACCATAGAGTTTTGAATGTTTCTGTTCATGATGAGGTGAAATTATTAGATCCTGGCTGGTGGAATGTTTCACTGTAGACCCATAGAAGCTGCTGGCTCAAAAAGTCAGCTAAGGAACTGGCTCAAGATATAGCATTTTTTTTTTTTTTTTAGCATAGTACTCAGAATTTCCTTTTTTTTTTGGGGGGGGGGGGGAGGAAGGGGAGATATAAGAAAATTGTGAAATCATTATAGGATAGTTCACAAAATAACTTGCAAGTGATAATTTAGGGCATTCAGCTATTTTTCTCACTAGATTTTTTAATGCTTGTTTTTACTCGTCAGAGGCCACACTGTGAGGGCAGTGAGTGAGAGTTTCCATTATTCAAAAGATGCTGGATTTAAAGTGGTCTCTCACATGATGCCTGACTTGCCAAATGTTGACTATGAAAGAGATGTGGAGCAGTTTATTGTGAGTTGTATTTCTTTTGTTTTCTGTTTCTCTGTTAAAGGTTTAATAGTGTACATCTTTTCGTATTTTAATTACATACAGTTGTTCAATATGAAAACATATTGCATACAATTGTCAGTATTGTACAATTGGACAAAAATTGTAGTTTTATTGTAGTATTGTGTGTTAAAAAAAGCTTTTAAGTAATGGGGAAAACTCTGAGCTGGCTCTGTTGACTATTTCCCTCACCCTAACAAGTATATCTACCCAATGGTCTTGTCACATAACCAGTGACAGGGAGACACTAGAGAATTCTCAATTCACCACCAAGTGACTACTTGCTTAAAGTTAAATGGAACTTTAATTACATTGTATGCTATCTTTAGATTTGCAAGGAATACCATCTATTGTTCTCTCTCCTAGTCAAGAAAGTGAGAATGACTGCTACCACATGTAATCTGCATCTAGACCAGAGCTGCAGAGAGGGCCAAACCCATGACTTCGGAGGAACATCACAGGTGAGAACCAGTGCCTTCTAGCCCCTGGGAAAAAGAAACTAAAAACTAACCAGGGTCCTGAGGAGACAGCCCCAAACCCATAGGTCAAGGACAGGATCTGGTCCAAAGAATTTGGCTATCATAAAAGATTGGCAAACAGAACAGAGTAGAAACTCTCCAGAAGACGGCACAAACAAGCCCAAACTAAATGGCAGCCTTTTTCCAACCTAATGTGGGAGAAAAAAAGGCAAATGAACAGCATTGTAAGAACATCCAGAACTGGAGAAAACTGTACTGCACTGCCCTGGGGTTAAGCACATCAATATACACACAGTATATTGCATGTGAGTAGGAAAATACCTGGCATGTTCAGAAGATCAACTTAATCACAAGTAAGGCATGCAAAAAAGATGAGGCTGAAGGGGTAAAAATACCAGCTGCACCTGAACTGCATCCAGGCGCCACATGAGAAAGTTCGGGAAGATAGCAACCAGAAGCAAGCAGGGCCTAAACAGGGATGTGTTACAGTATCATAATGTAACCCTGTGGAAAGCTGCAGAATCCAGATGTACTAAAACCAAACCAATGTGAGCTGAAAAACCCTCAACTGGCTGAATCACTCCAGAGGTGCAACCAGGGAAGTGGTTGCACTAGTAGCACACAGATAAGCAGTAGTGAAGAAAGTGTATCAACTCCTCGTCCAAAATCAAACAGGACCCCACTAAGGAAAGAGTACTTAGTGGATATAAATACCCCAGAGCCAGCCATCTCAAATAGTAGTGCCCCACAAAGGAGTGCAACACTAAAGAATGCAAGTAGGCCATCAGGAAAGCAATGAACACCCCCAGCCCCAAAGCAGCCATCAGAACCCCCGAACAAATTCCACCCCAAGGAATCTGATAAGACCCTCGCCAGCCCCATCCTGGCAAATACGATGAGGTAAGAACAAAAGCAACCAGGTCACATCCCCTTAAGTTGGAGTATGCCACCAAGGAGCACATGACAGGCTAGCAGAAAATACAAACAAAAACAACACCAAGACAAGAAGGCAAACTTCAGATGCACTTCTACAAACTGTCACAAGAACATCAGGGACAAAATTAATTCTACAGACACAGGGAGTTTGAAATAGTTTATTGTCAGAAATGTACAATATTACATGTATACAAGACTATAAAGACTGGATTCATCTCACTTTTGAATCATTTTCTATAATCCTTGGTGAATTCAATGCAGTACTTAGACATTACTCGTCTTGTGTCCTGCTCCTATATTAGCATCTTGAATAATATTGTATCTAGGACTTTGATCTATCTGTGTCACAGACAATGCAACATAGTGTTCAGGTTTGGTGCCTTCTTTTGATAATTACTTGATTCACCTCGCCCAAAAAGATGAAGCTGAATATTGAGTGTACAGTACAAAAGTGTAGAGTTTCAAGATGTCACCTATTTACTTCATTATATTGTTTTAATTTTTTCAGGAATTTTTTGAAAATCCAGCTTTCAGACCAGACGGCCTGAAAATCTACCCGACCTTGGTAATTCGTGGCACAGGTTTATATGAACTGTGGAAGACTGGACGGTACAAAAGCTACCCTCCAAATACTCTAGTTGATTTGGTGGCTACAATACTCTCACTTGTCCCTCCCTGGGTGCGTGTGTATAGAGTACAGAGGGATATTCCCATGCCGCTGGTAAGGTAAGTTTCTTATGTACAGTAATTGTTAGAGGTTTTAACTATGAAGACTAATAAATTTAGATTTTTTTTTTTTTTTTTTTTTTTCAATCAAAATCAAGAAAATTTTGTGTTGAATAATGGGGACGACTTCAGGAGTGTGGTGGTGCTTGTTTATCAGTGATGCTAACTACACATAGTGAATGATATTATGAATAAAGAAATTATATATACACTATATATATTTGTTATAATACTATACTGTACACACTTATTTTCTATAATTTTACGTCACTATATTCCTATTTTCTTTTGTCTGTTACCTTGCCATTACATTATGAAGTCACATTTATCTTGATAATTTAAGCAATTATAAGCATGCTTGCTCTTTACTGGAGAAACTATAGTTTAAATTATACAAAGGTTGTATAACCATTTCTATTTCAACAAGTTGTATGTGACATTGTAATGGACCCAGACTGTCACCTCTCTTCTCTAGGTAACAGACTTGCTGAATATAAGACCTTAGTCACTTGCTCCATCTGAACTGGTCGTTAGTTAATGGTTACGTTCTTTACCGTTGTTCCTTACTGTAACCTGAGCCCAATGCTACCTGTACAACTCACCAAAGGCCACGTGCATTAGGAAACACTGACGCCACGGTCACAAGTACACACAAAACCTGGCTTATTCCAGAGATGATAAACGGCTGCCACAACCTTCCCTATTAACCATGTAATTAAGCTAAGTGACTGCAGGGAACGACCAGTCAATTTGCTGTATAAATACCGAGCATATGAATCCCCAATCTTTTGAAAGGAGGGAATGAATTTATGTTAAATGTGGAATTTAACCAGACAAGGGAGAATATGTTAATCGATGAGAGTACTTATAGGATCACATGAAACTTACAACACAGTAATTCAGGATCTTGACAATCATAAATAATAATTGAGGAGGGAATTGGCTAAAAGCTCAAAAAAGATGAACTCAAAAGCATTCATCTCAAGATGAAGCTGACCTTAGCTGGTTGCCAAACTAGTTGACATAGGTACTTAATCATAGGTACAAATCATCTGCACTTGGCTAAATTGAGGGATTGAATCTTTTCACTTAAATTATGGTTAATTACACATTAATTAATTCAAATTATGGTTAATTTTGCTAATATACTAATACCTGATTTTTCTTTGTTAGTTCTGGTGTAGAACATGGAAACCTAAGGGAGCTTGCTTTGGCACGTATGAAAGATTTGGGTACAGAGTGCAGAGATGTACGAACTCGGGAAGTTGGTATTCAAGAAATCCACCACAAAGTTCGCCCATATGAGGTGAGGGAAAAATAATCTTTATTTTACACCTATTTGTATATAGTACCTTATAAAATTCCTTATCTTTATTTTAAATAAGCATCGTGTATGGTACTGTAATGCAATGCTACTTAGGGGGTCCTGGTGGCCGAGTGGACAGTGGTTGGGGTTTGTAATCCTAGGGTCCGGGGATCGATTCCTGGCGATGGCGGAAACAAATGGGGAGAGTTTCTTTTACCCTGATGAACCTGTTCGTCTAACAGTAAATAGGTACCTGGGAGTTAGACAGCTAATACGGGCTTCTTCCTGGAGGAGGGGGGAGGGTGAGAAAAAAAAGTTGATTGACAGTTAAGAGGTGGGCCGAAAGAGCCAGAGCTCAACCCCCTGCAAGCACAACTAGGTGAATACTGCATCAGTACAGTAATTTAAAATAAAAATAAAGGCAAACCTTAGTGTTTCCATTCATCAGTAGCTCAGTGTACAGTGATCTTTCAAAAGCTGTTCCTCAGAGTAAATATTCCATTTCCATGACACGCTTCCATAAAACTAATTACTATTATCTTGAAGAGTTTTAAAAATTTGAATATTTTGATGGAAGATTAAGGCATGCTTTATTGTAGTTTGTAGATACTTAAGTGGTGCTTTATTGGGCTTGGTATAGTTTTGTTGGAAAAAGCTTATACAGTACAGATATAACACATTATTATAATGCACAAGCCATTTCTAAAATGTGCACATGCTGTATCTCAAAACAAAACTCGTTAGGCCTTTTGGCCTCTGTCAGCACTACTATGGGAATTTTTTTTATTGCACTGATACAGTAGCTCTGTCTTCAGCAACTCCTTCACACCAGCACCACTTGAGGAGAAAACATTATTGCATAACACAATGATTTTAAGAAATGATATATATTGTATATCTGTCTTTTTAAGTTCAGTACAGTATTTGTTTGCTCAAAAATGATCTGTTAATGATTAGCAAAGCTTTAAACTTTATAGGTGGAGCTGATCAGACGTGATTATGTAGCAAACGGAGGTTGGGAAACATTTCTCTCTTATGAAGACCCAGAGCAAGACATCTTGGTTGGCCTACTTCGCCTAAGAAAATGCTCGGACCAAACCTTCAGGTACTCGCTTTAACCTAAAGAATGTACAGGCATTCACGTTTTTATTTTGTTTTATACCTTATTATATTTTGTCATTCTCATGAGATTTGAAAAGTAAATGAATGAAAACACAGTATTGATGAGCCAAACAAGAGAGGAGAAAAGTAGTAGTGCAGTGTGAAGGGGAAGAGAATAGGGGGCTCTCTTTACTTGCCCTTCGATCATTAAAGCTGCAACACAACATAGTTATCCTTTTTAAAATTCTATCTGTTTTTTAATGTTTTAAATTTTAAGTTATATTATGCAAACCGTAGAATATGCATTGGAATTGACATCTCCATTTATTTTAGGCCAGAGTTGGTGGGTGGAGTGTCGATAGTACGTGAACTTCACGTGTACGGTTCGGTAGTTCCAGTGAGTTCTCGTGACCCAACCAAATTTCAGCATCAGGGCTTTGGCATGTTACTGATGGAAGAAGCTGAGAGGATTGCTAAGGAAGAGCATGGATCTCATAAGATTTCTGTAATCTCAGGTAGGATTGTATTAAAGTTCTACAGTACTATACAGTATATTGTTTTCTAGCTGGACATGAATATGACATTTGTTTCTCTGCTGAGTTTGAAGAGGTTATATCTTGAGGTTATCTTGAGATGATTTTGGGGCTTTAATGTCTCCGCGGCCCGGTCCTCGACCAGGCCTCCACCCCCAGGAAGCAGCCCGTGACAGCTGACTAACACCCAGGTACCTATTTTACTGCTAGGTAACAGGGGCATAGGGTGAAAGAAACTCTGCCCATTGTTTCTCTCCGGCTCCCGGGATCAAACCCCGGGACCACAGGATCACAAGTCCAGTGTGCTGTCCGCTCAACCGACTGGCTCCCATGACATAAATATCAGACACTTTGACCATTGACAGTATCTATATTGAATAGCAGTCTTGAAAGGATACAATTTTCTCAGCAAGGAAACATTTGCCACTTGGCGGCATTGTAAAAAAGAACACAATTTTTACCTGAATTTGGTTGAAAGCACTAGAATATCTCTAGTGACCTTAACAGGGACAGGAAGCTAGTGACTTGTCAAAGACCCCCCCCCCCATTTTCCCTGATGATTTTATCCAGCTGGACTTTGAACTGCAGAAGACTAATGATATTGAGATCTAATAATATAGCATCAGTCAAGATACAAGCTGTGATCAGCTAGTTCTGAGAGATTTTAATTGTGCAAACACATAGGCTTGCAAAATTAAAACTCACAATGAATGGATGTCTAGTTTCTCATGACTTAGCACCTCAGAACGTGCTGCATGAACTCAGAGGGAATCACAGTCTTCAGTGGTGTGTGTAGTAGACAGGATAGTGCAGTTGTTCTTCAGATGAGTGGTGCATATTGAGAACGCCTTCCTAACACAAGGAACGCAAATCCTCGTGCTAGGACTCATCGCAGTTCTCTCAGTACAGAGTAGAGTGGCTTGTGCTAGGACTCATCACAGTTCCATTTAGTTATACATCTAGCATCCACCATGAACACCATATCTCATACTGTATCTATACTTTTGGTTTCCCCATGTAAAAGACAAGAAACCTGTTAGGTTTATTGAGACCCATTATTCATAGGCAAGGTGTTTAACTGACCACCTGAGTGACGTGCACATTATCTACTGCGTTACCGGCTTATTCACCACTTGGACACAAATTTAGATTCTCTTCATTCATTAGTTGAATATCTCTTTGAATATCACTTTGCTTTCTTTTCAGACACCTGTTTTTATTTTTGTAGTGCCTGTAATACTGTGTTGTAGGTTATTTCCTACTTGTAAATGTTGTGTATTTGTAAGTTGTTGGTAAATCTGCCATAGTAGTTTTATTTAGTAGTTAAAATGTTGAATTCTCTTATGTGAAACTATTAACTCTTTTAATTTATATTTTCAGTTACTTTCTCTTTCTGCCGTATATTATATACACTAATATTTTTTTATTTTTTTCAGGCGTTGGTACTCGTAATTATTATAGAAAGCTTGGGTATGAACTTGAGGGGCCATATATGTCTAAATCTCTTATCTGCTAATACAGTATACAAAGTATTCTCATTCGTGTGATTAAAACATTTATACCTCTATGGGATGAATTGCATTCTGCAAAAGAAGTGGTTTGAAAGCAGAATTGTTAATACAGAAAACTTCCTTAGCTGTGGTATAATAAAAATGGAATATGAACATACAGATTTTTTACAGTACCTAGAAGATATTAATTACTATTACTCAATAATAAAGATATGGTATAACTTGTCAGAGGTGTGTTATCAATTGCTGTTAGTTCTAACAAAAATTCTACTTATGATATATAACTGAAGTTTTCATTTGTTGCTTACAATTAAAGATAACATTTTAATTTAAGTTGATAAATTAGACTAAATACATTTTGATAATGAATAACTACAAGTTATCCATTGTTTTATTTTGTAAAGTTAATTTTGTTTGTGTTAAAAAAAACAGCATTTTCAATGCAGACTTGAAATATTTTAAAGGTGTAATTTCATAAGGATTCACAATGGTTCCATGGCAAAATATATACACTTTATATACAAAATATATACACTATACAAAATATATACAAATGCACTTTCCTAAGGTTTAAAATTACAGTAGAGTACAGTATTTGTAACCTCTCTTCTATTTACGACCGAGCCACCTTTTATATTATGTTCTTCATTGCTAGGGGTTTGTATTTCTGGATGGGTTTACTTGTAAACCTGCCCCCTAATTGAGTGTGTGCTGATTTAATCACACATTATAAATCTAAATCTTAGACAAACTCGCATTTATTATATTATTTTAGAACAATAAATATTACTACAGCACATGACCTCTGTTTCCTTGGTATTCTCTTGCCCCCATCTTCACGTCCTTGACCTCGTCCCTGACCTCGCTCCATCTTCACGTTCCTGACCTCGCTCCATCTCTACATCGTTGACCTTGCCCCCCTCCCTCTCCACGTCCTTGACTTCACCCCATCTCCATATCCTTGACCTCACCCCATCTCCACGTCCTTGACTTCACCCCATCTCCACGTCCTTGACTTCACCCCATCTCCATATCCTTGACCTCACCCCATCTCCACATCCGTGACCTCGCCCCATCTCCACGTCCTTGACCTCATCCCATCTCCACGTCCCTGATCTTACCCTCTATGTATCTCTTGATTTAATAAAGCTCTTACTGGTGAAACATTATCAAAAAATTAAATCTACCCTGATTTTGATGTTTGTCAGCATGTGTTTACACAGGATGCATTCCTGGAGACACTGGAGTTATACTCTACCATGTAAAATAATTTTAAGAATCTTTTGAGAAAATTAGAATTGGGTTCCAGGGAAAATTAAATTTAATATAAATGTTTATAACTTTTATTAACTATAAGTGAAAAGACAATGAAATAGGCAGTTTTAAAATTTGTCTTTTACTAACTGAAGAGAGAAATCTATTAATGTGAAATGATGGTGCATATAGTAGAACAGATCTAAACAAAGGTGAAATACACGGTGAAAGGTGAAAAATATCAAATGAACAAATCCACAAGGGCCGTGATGAGGGTTCGAACCTATGCACGGGATGTTCCCAGATGCGCCTTAGTCCTCGAACCCTCATCATGGCCCTTGTGGATTTGTTCATTTAAAGGTGAAATGTTTACCTGGTTTATATTTTAATATACATTTTGATAGTATTCATTTAATGTGCACATTTTATATTTGATTTTCCTACATACTGTATTTGGAAATTCCTAAAATCTCAACCATGTAGAAATTTTACCATTTACAATTGAACATGATTAAGGGATGCTATGACATTGCTTACCACTTTGTGGTGCAAACAGTCATATGTTACTTGCAACAGAGGGGTTGAGAGATTGGGCTGTAGACCCATCTAAATTTCTCCTCATTAAAAGAAGAAATGGCATTTATTCTAGGGCTCCCTCTTGCCTAGACTTAAGACAAAGACAAGGTAATATGGTTTTATGGAATGTTGTTATAGCAAACAAATGAAGATGGCAGTGGTGAAACTTTTTAAGGTGGGAATGTTTGGTGTGATACGTCTTAGAAGCTAGCTTAGAGAAAGCAAGAATCCAGAGTAGAATTAGTTAAGGATTGTAAGAGGAGTGAAAGTGATAGAGGGAGTAGGCCTTTTAGTAAATGAAGAGTAGTGTACCTGGATGGAGTTCTGGGTGTTCTACTCCCAAAGTCTTGTGAGAGATTACCCTAACAGGCTTGGAGTGGCCTGCAGGCCCACATCCATCACAGCCCGGTTGGTCCGGCACTTCCTGAGGAAAACTATCCAGTTTTCTCATGAAGACATCCACGTTTGTTCCAACAATATTTCTTATACTCGCTGGGAGGGTGTTGAACAAACATGGACCTCTGATATTTATATAGTGTTAGGACAATGAATGGTGCATGTAACAGCTACATGGTGCAGTAACAAGGCACTTGGGTGTGAAGTTAAAGTTAGGGTGAAAGTGGTTGTGGTAGAAGATTTCCAGATTTCCATTCCATGTGGAAATCTGAAAGCATATTTTCAGTATAAAGTATGCAGTCTGAAAATTCAAGCTGTCTCCGTGGCACAGTGGTAAAATACTTGCCCTGCACTTCACGAACAATTTGCCATAGGTTCATATCCTGGCCGGGGAGGATTGACCAGGTGCCAATCCTCAACTGTTTGCCTCTGTTCACCAAGCAGTGAATGAGTACCTGGTTGTTAAACGATTTGGCAGGTCATATTCCAGGGAAAAATTAGGATTAAGGACCTGCTCAAAATGCTATGCATGCTAGTGGCTTTTCAAGAATGTAAGAACTCTTGGTTATAAATCTTATAACCTTATGATCTTATGGTTATAAATAAAAATTTAAAAAATAGAAAGAGAGGATGGTATCATAACAATAAGTTACAGAATCTATACTATGAGCAGGACTGTATTAAGACCTTTCAAGGCCTTAAGGACTGGCAAGATTATGGTGCCCCCTATATGTAGTTGAAAATAAATGTTTCTGTGCTTCACTCAATTGATTGTTACATCCTACCCCATATTTCAGGTATCTGAATCTAGGGAAACAAAATGTAGTGGAATGTAAGGTATTCCAACAAATTTATGATTTTACTACTATCATGCTTTTTTTTTAATATGACATGAAATTTTTGAAGTCACGGAGGGAAATTACGTTTGATGGAACCAGTTGTTAAGGAGTGAATGTTGACATGTAGTATATTTAAATGACAACCCAATGGAAGCACTGTAGTAGGGTTCTGTTGTGAATGTTTTTCCGAAGTGTGATGTTGGTGATTAGCATGGAAGACATGGTAATTGGGTGGGTGTCTGCTTTAGTGAGGATCTTTGGCCTTTCACTATAATGTGAATTCCAGCCCCAAAGTAGAAAACATGATAATGAATAAAGCACAGTAGAATTGGGACGTGTCTGTGCAGTGCTGTGATGGTTTGCACATGAGGGAATGATTGATGGAAGACTTGTAAGGCTACTTAAAGACTTCTCTCACGGCCACTCAAGAGAGTTCACAGCTGGAATATGGTTGATGGTAGAGCACAGACAAGCTCATTATTCCCATACCTATAATTTCCAGCAAAGAACATCATGCACAAATTCTATAACAACATTATTGCATAGATAGATACAATATAACCTTCATTTTTACATTTGCATCCAGACTATGCTTGTTAACATTTGTAAGTGGAGGCCTGGTGTCTGAGACCAGGATGCAGAGGCATTCAATCACCTGGTGGACAGGGTATGTAGATGGATACAATTTATCATAGCAAATCAGAACTGCTAAGATTTATGATCTTAAATTTTAAGTTGTGATTGATTTAAACCTGGCAGAGATTTAGCCATAAGATTGAGTGTGTGTTTGAGATCTCGTATCTCCTCCCTCTGTTCCATGTGAAGAGTCAACAAAGTATTGATTTGCTGATGCTGGTTTTCCAGCTGTAACTGTAAAGGGTTTGTTGGTTCTGTTTCTGCATCCTCTTTACTGTCTAGCAACAAAAGTTTCTTTGTCAGAACATTGTATCCATTTACTTCAGTTTCTTCATCAACATAAGTGCCTCTTGTTCTGTATTTACGAAAGAAGGGAAAGCAAATCTCAAGTTTCAGGAAAAGTGTACACCGAGATGCTGCTCTGTAAAAGACAGCTTTGTCTCGGAAGCTATCAAGCTTTTCGGAGGGCTGAGTAATTACTAAGTTGACAATAAACCCACCAATAGTTGTGACAAACACCACAAAGAGAAGGTTCACCATCACTGGGTAGACAAGCTGGTGATCATCATTAAGAAAAGTGTCATCATAGGCAAGATCACCAAGCATCCACACTATTGTCTTTACCATGGCTTGTGGCACTGTGAAGAAGGCAGTCTGATCTCTTAGTAACAAATGGAAAATAAATGCAAAGATAAATATAAGCATTGCAATATAAAATACCACTTTGAAAAAGCTCTTAAGAAAGCTTTGAGTAATTGGCATGAAAACTGAGAGCATGGGTAACTGGTTGAGCATGTTGATGAGGTGCAGCCATGCCACCAGCAGTGCCAGGATGCCACACTGCCAGTGTTCAACCTGGAACACAAAGTATTGCATTTATAACTGCATTTGATTCATATGCAACAAATAAGTCACAACGATGTGGCTAAAACAAAAAAATTAAAGTGAAAATGTTACATTCCATCCTGTACCATTATATAGTCATTACATCTTGATAAGGGTTCACGATGTCAAAATGTTACTTTCATTTTTTATTTTGTATTTGTTTGGCTATTTCATAATTATCTTATCAGCAATGCAGACAAATCATCAGGTTAATTATTAGTGTATTCATAGCAAATTTGACCATACAAGTACAGTACTTTAGTACTGTACTTGTTAGTACTAAAGTACTGTACTTGTACCATAAAGTACAGTACTTTATTATTTAAGATTATTGTATTGATCAGTAAACTGATCAGCAAACCCAGTACACTGTAGTTAACTTACATAAAGTATGTGATGATCAAATTCACAGCGTCCTCTTGGTACTATGATGATAATGGAAAATATTAAACGGCAGATCTGCATCAGATTGTTGAAACTCAAGTATTCATTCCTCAGCTACCATAAAAAATAATTGATTAATATTTTACACATGTTAGGGGTTTCTGATTAATTAAACAATTTATATTACCAAAAGAAAGATACCTTATGGTTATACCCAATATCTTTGTTATGATTTATGCAACACTCCTGCCTTACTCTTTACAGTTTTGCCACTCTTTGATCTAACAAATCCACATTTACTCTTTACAGTTTTGACACTCCTTGATCTAACAAATCCACGTTTACTCTTTACAGTTTTGTCACTCTTTGATCTAACAAATCCATGTTTACTCTTTACAGTTTTGTCACTCCTTGATCTAACAAATCCATGTTTACCTCCTAGCCAGGAGTGTATTCTGAGCCATGGCCCCAACGAACAACATTCTATATCGTATTTATATCATATTATTTTGTTGAAGGTACTGTCAATTATCCACAATCAAAAATTAAACAAAGATTTTAAATTACAGTATTGAAAATAGATAGATAAAAAGCAATTTGTATATTATAAAGATCAAGTAATTATTTACCTGATTTACCTGAGGGCCACTAACCCTTGTGGCCTTGACAAGGACAAAAAGACGGCAGCTTGTCAAAGGAAACATTATAATAATGTTATGTGCTTGGAGTATATATATTTATAATTAGAGCACTGTACAATACTGTAGTAGACTATAAAAGCTCCTAATTATAATGAGCACTGTATTTTGGACAAGAGAAAAGATAGATAATTCTATAATATTAGTAATAAATAGTTCTCACCACATAATGGGGCAAAAATATTTTTTCTTTATTGCCAAAAAGTATATGAAAAGAATAGAAACCAAAAATTAACCATTGAATGCAATGAAATGCTCTTTTTGGAATGGCCCCAGTAGCTTCCCAGTGCAATGGCTCTGGTGCTATAGAGATATCCACAAAACTATCAGACCTTTAGAAATACATGTCTTCTGAAAACTAAAGCTAGAATCTGGTGGGCTCAAAGATGTTAGGAGAGTCTGGGGATCTGAGATCAACCTCATAACCAAGTCAAATTGCCTAAAAAGTACAGGCAAAGCAAAACAAACTTTATATCTTAATTAAAGAGAGAATGAAGATGGAATCAAGGGAAGACATAGTTTACCCAGTGTCAACAAACTGCTTTAGTATCCAAGTGCACTACCAGATGGCAGCTCAAGTCATTCAAGGGTTGAACCTGCCTGCTTGCCTTACGTGCTGCCTTCAATTTCCACCACAAAGAAGGGAAGGTAGGGATAGCGACTGAAGCTTGATTTCTGGGTTGGCCCTCGATAGCTCTTTGGAACATACTCTCAATTATGCTTTGGAAGAAAACTATCTTTGGGCTAACAGAAACAAATTATTAAAGGCACAAAGATGGAGGGCTAACCTGTGGAGTGAGAGGGATAAAAATCCAAGGCTTGGGGATAGATTAACACAATAAAGTAACTGGAAAAGCATCAAAGTGCCACAAAGGCCCAGTGTTGATGAGGAACATCCAGAAGGCAATGAGCAGCCAATACAGTATTCTGCTATTCTGCTACTTTGCCAGGAACCAAGCTTAATTATCATCCATAGACATTTTGACAATGACAGCAGTACAGTAATAACAGGATATTTTCATATATACGTACATAGCTACACATAAGACTGGCTGAACTGGACCACCCGATGGATAATTTGAGAAAATCTGACCTTGGAACAATGGACAAAGAAAAGGGAATTGACACCAACACCTCAGGAAACATGAGTAATACAGTATGGAAATACAGTAATGCCACACTGTGGTAACCAAACAGAGGGGCATGATGTAACCCTAGCTGGACCAACTAAGCGACCACAACCAAAAGACCTGTACAAAAAGCAGAGGACTCATTCTTAAGTAATTAAATTAAATTAAAATTAAATTAAATTTTGTATGCAGGAAAAGTACATACATAGATGAAGAGTTACAAACAATGTTGGATTTATAGATAGAGCTAGTACATACAATACCTAAAGCCACTAATACGCATAGCATTTCGGGCAAATATATTATATTATTACAACCTATCCTAAGGTTGTATTTTTTAGTAAAAGAGAACAAAGAAGGCTGTAGACAATGCAATTCCCAGGACAAAAGTAACAAAACCCCTTCTTGTGACGAAGAACATGAAGTTCACAAATCATATCTATCAGAAGATAGAGTCAACAAGAAACAGACAACATGAGATGGTTTTCATCCATATGGAAATATATCCATGGAAGGAAGGAAGGAAGCCTTCCTTCCAAAGCCCTCAGTACCAAGATAGGGCTTTAGTTTTAAATAAAGCTTGAGAACATCCTTGGAGGTCATTGGAGATAGTAGCCCTCAGATAACTATGGGTATACTGTATTACCCCTCAAATATTTTTCCTTGTTAATTTAAGTGTATATGTGTTTCAAAAATGCTTCTAAAGAGCAAAGTAATTATTATTACTTAAATTGTTCCCCCTAATAAAGTAAAGTATTAAATAGTAATGCATAAAAAGTAAGACATAAAAATAGGCTACAGTTTGTTGACCAGACCACACACTTGAAATTGAAGGGACGACGACGTTTCGGTCCGTCCTGAACCATTCTCAAGTCGATTGTGATGAGGAGGTAGGGACAGGCAATAAATAGGCAAGAGAGAGCTGAGGAGGAAAGTCAGGTGTAGGGGATAGTAGTAATGAGAACTGCAGCAGGCTTATTGGCCAATACGAGGCAGCTCCTATTATAACCACCGAAGGAGATAGTAATAGGCTACAGTTTATAAATTGAATAAAACCAATGGAAGGTATTGTGTCACAAATCAGTTACAATTGTGCTACTCAGAGGTTGTATGCAACCAACCTACTACTATATGTTATGCATCCCTGTAGAATAGAATGCATACAAATATATATAAAACAAAAATCTTTGATATTAATCCATCAATACAAACATTAAAAGAGCATAATGCCACCAAAACCTACCCTATACATATAGTTGCATTCCAGGAGTAGAGTGATAGACGTTATGATCAGTAGACACACAAATACTCCATGCTTTACTGGAACTGCTTCATTGCATTTCATAAACTGAAGTTTAGATCCTGTTGAATTATCGGGCAACAATGTAAAGTTTTCAGAAATTTCTTTAGACAGTGAACCCTCAATGAGAGTGTCTGGTGTGGAGGTTGGTTCTTTCATCTCCTGCCATGTTTCTGACAATCTACAAAACTGCTCTCTGGTCAAGTTACACCGTGTTTCTATGTGGCTCCAGTTACTGTAAAAGTTTAACATTGAAATTTGCAATAATTTAGTGCTGAATGGTAAGCATCTGTTGTTTTGTAAATAGTATTTTAAATAGGGTATAACAATACATCTGGCAAAGAAAGTTAAATTCATGTCATGCCATTTCAACAATCATTTTTATATACAGACAAGATCACTATGACAACTGCTAAGTTAAATAGTACATATGCAATATGATATAAAGTTATAGGAATATACTTGAAAACTTTTGGAAAAAATTAATATTGGTACTATACTGTAGAGTGTGAACCTAATTTAATGGAATGAAGTCAAACAGAAAATTGGATGGACAAGAAGGATTTCCTTCTGATCATTAGATTGGCTGCAGCTGGAAGAAATAGAATAATTCTAGTGGAACAAATTGCATAGGAAAGAGGGAAGGAGTCCAGTTTACCCTGAGCCGTGGTTTCCCCACTGTATAGTACTGTACTGGTACTGTACTGGATTTACAGAACTACTTTTAGTGTGCATATGCTGGCATTACACCGGAATTTATCAGAGCCACTATATCTCTAGTGGCCCTGACAAAGATGGGAAGCTGACGGCTTGTCAAAGGTCCCCATGGACTTGAAATATACTTTAAACAATCGTACAGATAGTTAATTATATACACGTTAATACTTACTCTGTACTTCCCATGAAGGCCATTAAACAACCAACAAAAAGTAGCTCCAGCAGGAGTAGGGCGAGGAAGATGAGGTAGATGTAAGACCGCCATTTATGTAAAAGCCATGCATTTGTTAAAGAGTGTTTCAGTAGCTGGTGTCGGCTGTGAGACACCATAAGAGTCAAGGGATGCCTGTTCTTCCATTCAAGGTCATCTTGGGTGAATGTTTGTGCATTCTGATGTACCTTTCCACTTTCACTTTCAAATGGACTCTCATCGGTCTTGCTTGAGGCTAAGGAACGAGAATAAGGAACACATTAAGTAAATGATATGAATTTACACTACTGGTCTAAAATAAACACAAACTAGGCTACATCTACTATACAGTGCTGTATATATATTCATCGTTCAAATAGAAATATATTGTACCTGTTGGAATATAGTAGTTGTCTTCATAAAATCTGAAGTCATAAATTGTTTTAGATTTGGAACGATCGACACACTTATCCTGCACCTTTAGAGCAAGGCCTGGATGATATTCAACAAGCTGTCTAAAATTCTGGCAGTGATGCTCATTTTTACTTCTAAAACCAGCTTGCCACCAGGAACTATCAATGATTGCTTCAACCACAGTTCTGTCAGTAATTACAATGTTATAAGGTTATTGCTAATTAAATAAAGGTATACAAAATTACACTTATTTCATTAATAAAAATTGCACTGTATTAATAATTTTCTTTTGCAAAATATTCTGCACATGTCTATGGCCACTCATCCATTTGTCAATAAATATGATGAATATATGAATAAATATTTTGTAAAACAAAGTTAAGAGTTGTTAAGAGGTCTTTAAATTTCTTAGAAAACTGTTGTGTACATACATACATACATTTTCATCACCCCATTTTTCCCTTTCATGGGTGGGGATGCATGAGTAGAAGATGGGATATCAATACAGAAAAAGAGGGCTTATAAATAATATATAATGACACCCTTACATTAACCATATCTTCTGTTCTTAACAGCATCAATATAGAACTAACACCATCACCACTCAAGCAAATTTTCTACAGCAGCACCCCACAGATATGTTATTAAACTTCGGTATATAGTGCTCCTCACGAGTTGTCATATATATCATCCATTCAGAACGTCCTCACACACTGCTGTTATTTAGTATTGTTCCTGCCACTTGCACACTGCTCACACTTCTTGATCCCTGCCTTCTTTAACACCTGTCTGTCCATTTCCTGGCCTTTTTCTCCTGCTACCATCAGATTTACTCAGATACACATTATTTTCCATTCTATTATGGCTTGGTTCCTTTTGATAATTACATACTGTACTTTCATTCTATTATCCATTTGATCAACACAACCACCATCTCAATCTGATGATTTTTTTGTCAAGCACTAAAAGTAATTTCATGATATTTGTATTCTTTACTCATGCCTCCTAATACCACATATGCTTCTCAGATATTGTATAAGTACAAACTACTAAATAAAAATAAATTTCATGTACAGTATACAGTACAGGATTTTGTAATATTTTCAAAATACAGTATGTGTACATTTGTGTGTGTGTGTGTTTGTGTATGTTTCAAATTTATTTTAGTACTTACAATCTGTTTTCCTCCAGTGCTATATTTATATATTCATGAAGACAAGCCATCCGTTTTTCTTCATCTTTTTTGTAAGGCAGCTGCAGAAGAAGAAATCGAAACACAGAGTCATGTTTCTTTTCAAAAGCTCTGTCAAAAGGTAATTTTCCATTATGATCAATATCATTGCATGTAGCTTTAGCACTGGCAACCAACAGCTGGCAACACTCCAGTGATCCCTCAGATGCTGCAAGATGCAACGCAGTGGAACCAGTATCATCTTTAGTCCGTTGAGTTATGCCTTTTTTGGTAAGAAACTTAACCACACTACCACAGCCTTTATTAGCTGCAATATGTAGAGCTGTTCGGCCATTTGTATCAACTGCTGATAGGCGAGCACCTTTACGTAAGAGCATTTGGCATACATCTACTGATCCATGAAGAGCTGCTAAGTGAAGCGGCGTTGCCTTTTTTCCGTTCTCCTGACTAACTTGTACTATATCTTTGGCAAGGAGTACTTCACACAGACTTGTATATCCTTTGTCAGCTGCCAAGTGAAGTGGTGTCATTTTTCCAATACACTGTTCTATTGGTGATGCACCACTCTTAAGTAATATATGGGCACACTCCACAGATTCTCGTTTTATAGCAATATGAAGTGCGGTACACCTTTCTTTATCTTTTTTATCAAGTATTTTCAAGTCTGGAAGAGACAACAAATATTGAAGGCAGTCTTCTGCATTTTTCTCAGCTGCATAGTGAAGAACAGTTCTGTTTTGTTCATCTACAACATCGAATTTTGCACAGTTATCTTTAAGGAGTTTTAAGCAGCTGGACTTCTTTTTACCTGCAGCTTCATGTACTGGGGCCTTTCTCTTTTTATTCTGTGTATTTGGTTCTGCTCCCATAGTAAGAAGCAATTCAATTGTGTTTTCAAATCCTCCAATTGCAGCATAATGCAAAGCAGTATTTCCTTCTTTGTCCACTGCATTTATGCTTGTATTTCCCAGTTTAGCACAGCATTTGTGATGACCTCCCTTAGCTGCCAACATGAGAGGTGTTTTTCTATCCTTCAGAACTACAGTCAACTGCTTTTCTTTATCAGCATCACTGCAAATTGATAAAAGAACTTCACAACATTCTGGAAACCCTTTCTGAGCTGCATAATGTAATGGCAAATGAAAATACTTATCCTGCATCTTACAATCTGCACCATTTTCTATTAGAAGCTTTATTACTTCAGCGTGATTTTCCAAAGTAGCGAGATGCAGGGGACTCATTCCTTTGTCATTTCTAACATTTATTTCAATATTGTTGTGTTGGAGAATCATTGTGCATATGTGTATTCTTCCCTCTTTTGCTGCACGATGAAGGGGGGTGTCAAGAGTTTTATTTTGTATGTTTACTTTCAAATCAGTGCATTTCAGAAGGATTTCACAGCAAAAAGGATAATCCTTTGTGACAGCAAGATGTAATGGAGAATGTCCAGTATTGTCTTGTGCATTGCAGTCAGCACCTTTAGTTAGGAGAAGATTAAGAATATCGTGCTGCCCATTCTTGGCTGCTATATGCAGAGCTGTTAATTTAGTCTTTTCATCCTCTATATTAACAATGGCACCTTTTTCTAGCAAGTTCTGACAAGCATCAAAGTCATTGTCTTCAGCTTTCTGGAGGAGTTCTTCTGTATATGTATGAGCATTGATTGGGTCGCCAACCCTATATAGAAAAATACAAATTGATTAGTATATTTATTACCATTCATAATATTAGCAAAGTGGCAAATTAAGAAACATTCCTCAGGCATTTTAGGCATCAATTACCGCCAAACATCAAAATTTTATTGACTAAAACAACATCTGAAATATTTGGTGAAGTATATTACAGTACTGTATCTTAAATATTGGTTTTATATTAACTAAGTGAAGTGAAGCTGTTCCTACTGACATACACTGAGAGGCAAAAGTGTGCAAAGAGAATGCACAGTCTAGTCTGCATAAAATAAACAGAAAAGTAGATGGAGACAGAAAACAGAGATTCTAGAAGAACTAAAATGTAAAAGAGGAAAGGAAATGAAAATGGAAGACAGAAAAATTAATAAAATGAAAAGGCCAGCACAGCTCATTTAAATACTCAAAAAATACAATAATAAATACTTATGAGAGCATCTGATAGGAAGTAACCAATGATATTATAACCTGATCATAGTAGGGTCCCGGTAGTACAGTCAGGTTTGTTCTCGACGCACAATTGAGAATTCCGGGTTTGAATCCCAGGCAGGACAGAAATAGTTGAGCACATTTCATTTCACCTAGCAATGAGTAGGTACGTACTCAGGAGCTAGTCAGCTTGTTGTGGGGTTGCATCCTGGGCGGGGTCTGTAGTTTTGCCTTGGGGGAAGGGGGGACCTCGATAAAAGCCAAACGTGAGTGAATACACTCTGGCTTCCTGTCCCCTGACACAGTGAATTATTTAATTACATCTTCCATCAAGAATCATTGTCACAACTTGAACCATTGTAACTCGGCAACTGGCGCAATACGTAGCCACTAATATTGCTTCTACTATCCCTATAATCATAGGTGTCCCTGGGATAGTATACTTTGATATCTACAGTTCCTTATATTGTGAGTACTGTATACAATGCACAACCAAAAGTCGGCATACCGTCGAGAATCGGATACTGTACAATACATTGCCTATACATGGGGTTCAATCACTAAAAGTGAACTCGATCCCATAATCACCCATAAAAAAATCGGCTATGGTTTATAAAATTTATATAAAATTTTATATACATTTTATAAAATTTATATAAAATTCTAGAAAAAAATATAAAAAATAGATAGAAAAAATGTGAGTATAGAAAGTGAGATAAGATAGGATATTGAGTGGGAGAAAAGAGGTAAGAGATATGTTAGTGGCTTTGCAAGAATGTAAGAACACCAATATTATGTATTTTCACAACCCAATGTACCTTCTTGTATAGAAATAAATAAATATGAATAGTATATTGAAGATTAGGAATGTTAATATGCAAGTTAAAAAGTTCTCAGATATATATATGGAAGTGAAACTTTGGTATGGAAAGAGGCAGAGTACTCAAGAGTACAGTCAGTGGAAATAAGTTATTTTGAGAAAAGCAGCTGGTGTATGTGGGATGGGTATAGTAATGAGGAAGTATAGGATAGATGTATACTATTGGATTTAGATACGATACGATTGCCCGAAATGCTGTGCGTATTAGTGGCTTTAGGCATAGTATATACTTGCTCTATCTAGAAATTCAACATTATATTTGTAACTCATTTTGAATGTATGTATGTTTACCTGAATAAACATGATCTTATTATCTTACTAAACTTTACATTATGTGGTATGAGTGAAAGGAGCAAGGGAATGAAATATGGCATGGATATGGACTTGTTTGTAGAATTAATGAGAAGGGTGAGGTAATTATTGGGAGAAAATTCTAAGCCATTATGACTATAGCTCTTGGAAGGGATATGAGAATAAGGATTTAGGATAGGAGGGAGGGAAGGAATGGTACCCAACCACTTGGATGGTCAGGGATTGAAAGCTGATCTGCAATAAGTGAGACCATCCATTTACCATGCAGTCCAAGTGATTGGGCATAAGAAGGCTTAATAAGGATGAAATAAAGGAATCATTTAGAGGCAGACAACTGGTATTTTAGCAGGGAAGATTGAGTCATATATGAAAGAAATGGTGGAGTAAATGGGTTTGAGAGTTTGAATAAAAGATTTATTTAGGGATAAAGCTTGTTGGAGAAATTTAAGTTGTAACCACCTGCTGCATGATAGGAAGCTCCCGGGGAAAGTAAGACCTAGAGGGGGTTTTATATATATGGATAAAGAATGCCTGATGTATCCATAACAAATCCAAACAGTACATATCTATACATCGAGTAATCACACTAACGTGATATATCAATGAGAAAATCCGTAGGAGACGTGATGAGGATTCGAACCTATGGACTACCCACCGCATAGGTTCGAATCCCCATCATGGCTCCTTTGGATTTTCCCAATACTGTACTGAACATACCTATCATAGCGTTCCCTGACAGACACAGCTCGCTCATAATGTGGTCTGGTCTTGGTGTGGTGCTTTGAAATGTCATCAATGTTTACCACATCTGTGGAAAAAAAATGAGTTCTATATTTTATAACAATAATAATATTTTCTTTATAAAAAATACAAAGGGTAAGATTTCATAGATTACTCAGTAGGTACAGTGTATTTTTACAAGGCCACTAATTATGTATAGAATTTTGAGCACACCATAGTACATTACCTTGTATTAGATTATATGTATTATATATATAATGTTTTTATGTAACGAATATAACTGCAAACCACTCACGAGTTCCATCTTTAACTATTCTCTTCTGTTTCTTTAAGGCTTTTCTTGACACTTTTTGTAGTAGTGGTATCTGACTCTTGTCAGTTGTGGTGGCCATCCTGGAAATGAAGAATACAGTAAATTTATGCAAATAATCTGGGCCTTTTTTTTACATGGGGAAGCTACAGCAGCATGATGGTATTATAAGAACATGCCAAGACAAGCAGAATTTAATCTTAATTAGGAATTAGTGAATAAGGAGGCATCCTGTTATGTACTGTATTAATAAACATAATTACAGATCACAAAGAAATCACAATGGCATGATATATCAATGAGGAAACTATTTTGGGGCAATGAGGTGATTTGAACCAGTGTTCTGGTGATTCCCAGACTCTTGCCTTAACCCACTCAGTCATGATGGGGACAAAAAACTATCAATCTGGAACTGTACTGAATTCACGGAAGGAGGGATGTAAGGGTGTGAACACCATTACCTGAAGGGCAATGTAAGTGTGTCTATCGTAAAATCATGATTGGGCATAGGTTCGTGCCTCCATAACCTCCCAGTGAATTCAGTAGAGTTCTGGGTTGATGGGCTTTTGGCCTATTGTGGCTGAGTGGGTTATGGCAGGTGTCTGGGAATTACCAGAACACTGGTTCAAGTCACCTCATTGTCCCAAAATGATTTTTTTCATATAATTACAGTACTGTAAATTCAGTATGTTTATTTACATTATAAGATGCCTGCTTGCTGATTTATGTTTGCAATCCCTAGAATGTGTAGAAGAAGATGTACAGTATTGGTATTTATTTATTTATTCATGTACAGTACATGAAGGTACATTGAGTTGTGAAAGTCCATACATTGGTAATTGAGTGGTACAATTATTGCAAAGCCACTAAGAAGTACTATATAGTGTTTTGGCCAGCTACTTAAGCTAATCTATATTCATACAGTGACACCTCTGCTTACGAATTTATGCTTACGTTTAGTATGAAGTTCCTTCATACTAAACCTGCATAATTTACACAATATGGCCGACTACTTGTTGGCAATGTTGTGTAGCCCATGCTGATGGTGGACTGTCTTTTTGTGAGTTCTTGCCAAAAAAAATATTTCTTGTGTAATAAATTGCACTGAACTTGAATCATCTTGTTCATACTCAACTCCTCACAGGTAAGTCTTATCTTGATTTTGTAATCATTGATTTTGGTCTAAATATAATGTACTTACTGTATATGTTTAATATGCGAGTTGGCAAGATACTAACATCTGTTACCAACACATAACCAACTGTAATATGTATCCTAACATCAATTGAACTTTGAACTTATGTTAATAATATACTGTACTACAAATTACAGCTAAAAGATAAATAATCTATCTACAGTATATCTATAAAATAGAATGTCTGTCTGTCTGTTCAAAGTAGGAGGCCAGAGGCTTGGGGCTAGCCTCACCCAACCTTCCAAGATGACACATGGGAATGTGTGTCACCCTTTAAGAAATATCAGCATCTATAGCAATCCCCTGTAGTTTTTATTTAGTCTTAAATTGGGAATGTGTTTTCCATAGAGTTTTGGCAGTTTTCAGTGCTTTGTAATACTGTACTGTATTACATTTTCTGAGAGAGAGGGAAGCAGGGGTGGATAAGTGAGAAGTGGGGGAACATTAGGATAAAGAGTGGAGAGTGGCAGAGGGAGAAGAGAGTAGGTGGATAGGGGAAAAAGGGGGGAGATTGGGAGTGAGAGGAGAGGCGGTGAGGGGTAGAGAGAGTTGGGTACATCATGTAATCCTTTATAAAATGCATACTGTACTTGGAGCCATTTTATAGTGATCTGTGGGAATAACCAAACAATGAAATAATGGGTCCTATAGCACAGTGGTCTAAATTCTCGAATCACAATCCAGGATCCTGGGGTTCAATCCACAGGTAGGCACGTTTTCTTTCACCTGATGCCTTTGTTCATCTAGCAGTAAATAGGTACCCCAGGAGTTATAGGTAACAGACGTGGGGGTTGCCTCCTGGATAAGGTCAAAAGTTCGACCTTGGGGGTAGGAGGACCTCGATATATGCCTTAGTACAGGCTTCCTCTCCACGACAATGCGAATTCAAATACAGGTCACACTTACGTCAGGTACAGTATATTGGTGATACTGTACAAACTAGAGCGGACACCTGTGGCCAACAATGAACAGGGACTGTTAGGATATGTTGTCAATCCACAATCAGTTCCTGAGAGTGGGTGAGGTGTTGCCAGTAACGTTCCAGAGAGTGGGTGAGGTGTTGCCAGCAGTGTTCCAGAGAGTGGGTGAGGTGTTGCCAGTAGTGTTCCAGAGAGGGGCGGTGTTGCCAGTAGTGTTCCAGAGAGTGGGTGAGGTGTTGCCAGTAGTGTTCCAGAGAGTGGGTGAGGTGTTGCCAGTAGTGTTCCAGAGAGTGGGTGAGGTGTTGCCAGTAGTGTTCCAGAGAGTGGGTGAGGTGTTGCCAGTAGTGTTCCAGAGAGTGGGTGAGGTGTTGCCAGTAGTGTTCCAGAGAGTGGGTGAGGTGTTGCCAGTAGTGTTCCAGAGAGTGGGTGAGGTGTTGCCAGTAGTGTTCCAGAGAGTGGGTGAGGTGTTGCCAGTAGTGTTCCAGAGAGTGGGTGAGGTGTTGCCAGTAGTGTTCCAGAGAGGGGCGGTGTTGCCAGTAGTGTTCCAGAGAGTTGGTGAGGTGTTGCCAGCAGTGTTCCAGAGAGTGTGTGAAGTGTTGCCAGTAGTGTTCCAGAGAGGAGTGAGGTGTTGCTAGCAGTGTTCCAGAGTAGAGCCGGTGGAAGAGGGCGTGATATATAATTATGAAGAATGGTGTGACCCACCAACATCCCCATACAGTTGTTACTAGTGCAGGATCCGAACAAGACCTACAGTGTGTACTACTACTGAGTCCTCGATGTGCTTGGCTTCCCACGAGATCAAGGACTTCATGAGCTGTTCACCTGGGAATTGATTTTGTTCTTTGTAGTGTGATATTCTTATTAATTATGCCTTCAAAGTATGGAAAATTACCATTATTTCCCCTCAAACTTTGCGTAAGACAGGTTAGGGCAGACGTCGTAAAGATAAAGATAAAGATTATTTAAATAAATTATTGCTAAGGTACAATGGTGAGGCAACACCGCTCCGCCACACGCCAGACAAATATTCCGGACACCAATAACAAATTCAACATGGCCCTCTAACCCAGACTGTCGCCTTATAGACGGGATTCCCGCAGACATGGGTCCTTCCTGCAGGTGAGGCCGCCGCCGCCTCTGTGGGCAACATTACAGAGGAAGCTGACTAGTACTCCTCCGTCCTGCCAACTCATTGTCATCAGCAGCAACAAAACACTGAAGGTTTTAGGTTAGGTAGTGCTACATAGTCTTCCCGCCTTGGTGCCTTCTTTTGATAATTACTGACTTTAGGTTAGGAATGAGCAGCAGTACAAAACCTAACCCTTCTCTAGACTACGAGGAAGATCCGTGTCTTGCAATGTGACCAGAGTCAGGATTTAACAACCATTTACGCATCTACTTAAGTACTTGCTTATCTGATAAATCCTGGTCCGGCTCTTCGTCAGCTGTTATGCTACACGCATGCATTACATTTCCACATTCTACTAATATTTGTCATCTAGCGCCTGTCCCCACTGACATATGCCATGGCCTTGAGGACCATGCCGGCTCTCCTCTAATCACCGGCATACCTGGAGCATGCCTGGGGAGGAATTCGAGAGTGCTACTTCCCGAGCCCAGCCTGAGGCCAGGCTCGACATGTGGCATGTCCTACGGTTCAAAACGAGCATCCGACAGGTCAGTAAAACTAGACTTAGTTCTGGAATGATTTTTGTTGCCCGGTGTTGTACTGTCTCCAGAGCAGTCATGTCCTTCTGGGGTCCTTGCGACTGAGCCAACGACACTTACCACTGCGTCACAAAACCTAAACTCCTGCAATTGTGGACTTAACTCAGCACACCAACTCATCCATTTGGCCCTGCCTAACATTGGCTGCATTGGCCATATTGATTTCACCATGTGGTGGAATCCATATGGCCCTTTCCATCAGCTCATCGATATGGCCCTGCCCTACACTGGCTACAGAACTGCTGGCGATACGAGTGGCTAGAGAGGTGGATAATAGGATGGATTAGAGGGTGTGGTGGGATGATTGGAGAGAGTGTGACAGGGCTCCTAGATATAGCAGGGTGGTGAGAGAAACTATAAAATGTGACAGGGTGATGGGAGGAACGTAAGGGTGAAGCAGGGTGATGGGAGACAAAATAGGGTGTCTAAAAGGGTGACAAGTCACGAAAAAGTCAACTGGATGCCCTTAGTAAAATCTACCCAAACTATTCTTAAGATTCTCGAAGGTGTTTGTAATGTCAATTCAATTCTTATCTGGAAACTTAAATCGAAACTTGTTCAATATGAACAGTATTACGACTGCTAACTTTAACATTTTCAAACCATCATTTGCTAAATTTCAGGTAAATATCTTTCAACCATCTGTCCACTTCAGTCATATCATTCTTCACCTCTTAGCTTGAGTGCGTGACAATCGAGTCTTTTCAATCCTATCCTCCTCCTACTCGACACAGCACAGGGCAGCCCAGCCTCATAAAATAAAAATACGGTACTTATATTAACGATGTGGTGGAAAATAGCAGTATGTAGAGCTGTACCACCAGAAGGTATCACTATGTAGTGATGGACCACCAGGAGGTACGAATATGTAGTAATGGACCACCAGATAGTACCAATATGTAGTGATAGACCACTAGAAAGTACCAATATGTAATTATGAACCACTAGAAATTACCAATATGTAATGATGGACCACCAGAAAGTACCAATATGTAATGATGGACCACCAGAAAGTACCAATATGTAATGATGGACCACCAGAAAGTTGACTTTAATATTATTGAATTTGGACAAACCAGAAACTTTCTAACCGCAGTTTAAATATAAGACAGCCTAACCATTCTTAGCAATCCTAGGCCTAATACACGCTATCTTAGACCTAATATAGTACATATATGTCCTATACTAGGCCTAGGAATATTTGAGTTTAGCGTTTAGCTTTATTTTTCCGTACTATAAAATGAATAGTACAAAGAGTGGTTTACTGGAGGTCCCTCACAACATATTGGTACTTTGGACCAAAGAGTACTACCATTTTAGGAGGCTAGGCTGCCCCAGTGTGTACTCCAAGGCATCTCCGCCACCCTACCCTTCACTCTAAGCCTTACACGAATGAGTAAGCAGAGGGCGTGTCACAATAAAATGGCTGAAGATTAGTCACCCAACCCACCATATGTTCCCAGAGACACGGCTTGTGAACACGGGCCCTGTGGCCACGGCATCCCTGAGTGGCACTCATGTTGGGCACTGTGCCCTCCGTGTCCTCCCTCCTGCCAGTCCCTATGTGGACAGGGTTCGGGCTGACTTAATGGGACGTCATTGTTCAAGGTTGCTGCCCGCGGCATTAGGCCTTTAGGCTGCAAATAACTGTCTCCTGATCGCATGTAACAATTTCACGTCTGTCATTGTAATAGTCCTGTAATTGCTGAGGAAACCCACTAAACTTATAAATAATATAAGTGAATAATTTTAAGTATTTTAAGTTACACCTGAAACGATTTTCATATATTAGTTGACTTTATTCAATATATATTTTTTGTACCCACTAAAATTAGCCAATGTATCATGTTACTGCGCATATTTTTTAAATCAAATTATTGACAACGTTGCTGAAAATAAATAACCCAACCACACATGTAAATATGTGCAAGTGACCTTTCCATTCACACTGTATGTGGCGCTATTTACTCCTAATTGTTTAATGGCAACACGTAATTTGGGTCACATAACATCCTCGGCAGCACGTGCTCCGAGAAATCAATCATTTACCCCTAACACTATATAAAAAATGTGTGCATGGAATTCTCTACGTCATTTATAATCGTAAGTGGTTTACTAATTGTATTATCTTTGTCACTGCTGATAGTGTGATAACGTTAAGTGCTTAACTAAACAGAGGGAACAACCATTAGGTTGATTTTATATTATAAATATCTCATAATTGATAATTAATATTATAATTGATAATAAAAGCAGTTCCCGTGGCACAGTGGTAAAACACTCGTCCGTCGCTTCGTGAGCGCTTTGGCCTGGGTTCATATCCTGGAAGGACTGACCGGGCACCAATCCTTAACTGTAGCCTCTGTTCATCCAGCAGTGAATGGGTTGTTAAACAATTTGGTGGGTTATATTCCGGGATAAATTAGGATTAAAGACCTGCCCGAATCGCTATGCGTGCTAGTGGCTGTACAAGAATAGAAGAACTCTTGTATATACAAATAAAATAAATAAAAATTATTGTTATTAAGTGTAGCCTCGCGCACCCTGCCGGATGTCGAGTTACAACCGAAACGTCTCTGGTTCAATTAACGGAGCAGGACAGAAACGTTTGGGCAAAATTTCCTTTCACCTAGCAGTAAATAGGTACCAGGGAAGGGGAGGGAATGGAACTACCAAGAGAAAGCGCCAAGCCATTACGACTATATAGCACTTGGAAGGAATGGCGATAAGGATTTGGGATGGGACGGGGGGGGGGGGGAATTAAGGAATGGTGCCAAACCATTTGGACGGTTGTAGACTGAATGCCGACCTGCATGAAGCAAAACCGTCGCTCTACCGTCCATCCCAAGTTTTGGGGCACCATTCCTTCCAAGGAGTTAAGTACTTAGCGTATGGGAATCTTTATAAGACTGAGACGCTCCCTGTCCCAAACAATGGGAACCCCATTTACCAAACAGGTGTTGTAAGGTATGCAACAGCGGTAATGTTCACCTGGTAGAGTGACGTAGATGTGGCAAGAGCTCTCTCCCTGTAGTATGTAGTTCTCACATGTTTACAATCACAAGCGCAACACATTGCGAGACAGGGTGGCGTTGTAAGTGCCAGAATTTGACTAGGATATCTTATGACAGGTAGCCGCAGGTAATGAATCCCTCAGCGGTTAACATTACAATTGTAAACTATGTGAACAAGAGCTGGGATACACTATATAATTATATTTTTGAGTGCCCTGTTATCAATAACTTTTGAGCGAATAGCATGAGGTACTTTGACCGCTGCAACTACTTCATACACTCACGAATATTTGAAGACATTTTTGTGCTGTACTCAGAGTTTGCTAGTGCAGGCTAATAGATCTGCATCTCATGTTCTCTCCTGATGCCATGTATCATCCTGTGAGATGGGGATATTAGATGAACTCACAGATAGCTTTTGATCTATACTGCGTAACCCTTCATGCAACACGCTGGGTAGCTACACAGTAATGTGTGTACCTAAGCTTCTTAGTAAAAAAGGTGATGTTGTTCCTGCAGCTACACCAACACCATCTTTGTGTGTACCTCGCACACCAACCCTACACGTGCTCCAGCATACTTATTAATTAAAAGCCTTTGTTTCTCCTCACAGTAAACATGCGTGACAGCGCTGACTCAAATAAACTCAATAAACCTCTCCTTGCTGTATGGTGGATGCAGTCTGGTCTCGTGTAATGATTTTTCCACACTTCCTGCACGATGCTTTTGCTATTGTGGTCGACTCTCGCGGCTCCCTCGTGGGTCTTTAACGCTTCCTGTCCTGTGGTGATCGAAATCCAGTACTCGCTATTTCTCATATTTAGCAGATTTAAGACAAGTATAATTTTGCTGGGTTTCCAGCCATGCTGGTCTTGTCGCTAATGAACTTCCGTATCCACTGTTAATTTAAGGAAGCCGATCGTGCTTATTTTATCTCATAAAAAATACTCTTATTCAAATTTATATCTCGCCATTCATAACGCACTATGCATCCGTTGGAAGAATAGATGATTCTGTATTGCGACAAACTGCGCAGAATTAAATATGACTCATCCCTACGACTTTCCTCCTACCATCATCACAGGAGCTGAGGAATGTCTCTTGATAGGCTACAGACTGTTCATGCGAGATTACCGGCGCTATACTGTCTGAACTGCATTGATGCGCTCGTGGTCATGCCACCTCTATAAGTCCTGATTTCAGGGATGCAACCCGTTCTTGCACTTGCTTATAGTCAATATTTGGCTTGTGAATAAGTGCATATGTGACATACTAATTTATATCGGGATGATAGGAAATCTAGCTTTCCCAATAATCCTTCGAGTCCCCTGTTCCTCGTTAGAATCCTTGGTGCATCCGATACCTTTGACATCGTTCGTCTTTTGCCTTTTAAGTCTCGTAATGGACTCTATCTAGACATTGTTGACTTCCGTGCCGCAGACGGTGCTAATCTTGAATTCAAGTAAATTCAGGTAAATTCTTTTGTTTGTTGCGCTCGTTTGACAGGTTACTTGCAAGATGCTTCCTTTTACTTATGTCTACACTGGGATTTGTTAATGTGCGTTTGTGTGTATCTGTCCCTGTATTACGTTTTGTAAAGGAATTTCAAGATCGACTGTAGTGAGTGACAGACATAAGGATGAGTGACTAGAATGAGTGGTGATTAATTAGGATGGATGATATAGAATGAGTAACAGTGATGAGTGATTACTATGAGGGACAGTGGCGAATGACCATGAGAGAATACGCCCGTTGAAAAGCAGAGGTGCAACAGGTACTCTGAGAGAGAACTCTATCAACATCAGAGGCCCGAGACTGTTCAACACGCTTCCACTACACATAAGGGGCATAACTGGCCGACCTCTCACAGGCACTTTAAGAAACTCGTTTCTTAAAGTGGCGTTTCGCGAGCGCTTTGTCCTGGGGTTCGTATCC